CTATATTCATCAGGGGTAGCCACAGCGGAATGAACCGCCAACTTATCCAACATATGTTTTACAAAGCGGATGCACTTCCAGCGGCAACCCAGTATTGGGAAACATCCATACGCACTCATACACTACAGCCAATTTTGTTTTATCCAATTCATCTATACCGCATGTCTTTGGGGGAAAGGGAAGAACCCGGAGGAAACACACGTGAACACAAGGAGAGCATGCAAACTCAACCCAGAAATGCCAACTGACCCAGCCAAGACTCAAACCAGCATCCTTCTTGCCGTGAGGCAACAATGCTAACCACTGAGCCACCGTGTCGCCCACATATTAATGTTTCTATTAAGATTTTTTAAGTCATATTCCAAAACGTGCATAATATTTGGTGGATAAAAACATAACAGCGATGGATAGAAAGATCACACAACTTCCTTGCAGTCCCACAAACATTCAATAATCAAACACAAGCAAAGAATCCAACATCAGTGAAGTTTATTTCTCTCAAGATCTTTTGTTTCCATTTTTATATTTGGCCCGAGGTGCAAACACCTCCGGGGGAAAAATGACTTTCTGCAAACAGCATCAAGGTTTGAATCTCTCTGTCTCTCTCTCTTGCTCTCTCATATTTAAATATATATAGTCTGTCCACCTGACTTCTCTCCTGTCATATTGCATATTAGCTCAATGCATCATGAGAAACCCGATGTCATAGCAGACAGCTTACGTCACAGACAGCACAACACTGAACTGGAGGGATTTACCGTTCAGACGTGATGCATCCAGCACACGACTCACGGTTCTCTCTCTAATACTCTGTTTTTTTTAATGCCTTGGACATTATAAAGCTCATTCATACCGACACACTTTTACTCCAGGTCAAGTATGGCTGCCAGAGCAAAAGTCTACCATAATCCTCCCACACAAACATTAGAGCGGGAGAGAAAGAGAGAGAGAGAAAGAGAGAGAGGGAGGCAGGGCCACAGAGTAGTGCAATACACAGACGCACACATTCACACATACATGCACAACACGCACACACACTCTCTCTCCCTCCAACTCTTCTGCTTTTGCCCCTTCTTGCTATTTCACATTAGTCTTCCCTCTCTTTCTCCATCCTTGCTCTGAATCATGCAGGATTGCAGGTTAGTGTTTCACTTCAGCACACATAAAAACGTCTGGAGAGCTAGCAGAGGGTCTCTCTGCTCTAGCTATGAATTAACCTGGAGTTCTAAGATACTGTATATACTATACTCACAATATTATCATCAGTATCATAATCTTTATATACAGCCAGAGTCTGACTGATATAAACAATGTGTTTTTTTTCTTCTTCTCCCAAGATAATTATTCTAGAAAATTAATTAAGTACCTGTGCAAATATACACAAATTGAAGTGTTCACATTTAAGACATTGGCGCCTTCCAGTGGCCGAGCGTGGGTAGGAACCCACCGAGCCGTAGGATGCAGCTGATTCAAGTCAACATGAGTGCACAGAGGTCTTAATGGACATTGAACAGATACAGATCTCAGCCGTCCAAACCAGACAGAGCCAGTCTGAAGCTGAGACCGGGTCAGACTGGTCCGGGACGTGCAGTCTTTACCCTGTTCGCTTTTTGAAACAGGAAGCGTCTCCAAACAACAGGAGTCCAGTCACAGAGCAGACAAGAACAATGACATGAGGATTTCCAGTGATTCAGCAAATCGGACGAGGAGAAACCAGGCGTGTCTTTGCGAATGTGCGGCACAAAGGCAGAGAATCAAGTGAACGAGACGACAACAAAAACAAAATAAACTAAAATAAGTGGATGGATGAAGAAAGATGGAGGACTTGGGGAGATTACAGTCAAACGTGAAGCGAAACCTGTGGAATCGGTCAACTTCCAAAGCACTTGACTGCACACAAAACAATCAAAACTCAAGAGCTTGTTTTCTGCACCACAATCCAACACTCTCTCGTGAACGGAGAAATATCTACAACATATTTCACACATTACAGCACAACGACTCCCCGTAATGGAGAAGTAACAGAACGACCATATTAAATCAACCTGTTTATCCAAACTGAACTAGCAAGAGGTGTCCTGTGTATCTTCCTGTATAGCTTACCTCATAACTCAACCCCTAGTTTTCGCTCTGTCGACGGGCCGGCAGCACCAACAGGGCAGAAGCATGGCTTTACAATAAGATAGAAACAACTTCTAGACATGACAGTAACATCTATTGCTATTGCACAGTTATCACCACTCACAATTATATTCTGATCCAGTTGAATTGATGCGCATTTTATGCTTGGCAAATTGACAAATATTGCAAAGTCAGGCCTTGTTATACAACAAATGACCAGAACTAGTTTGGTCAAAAAGCAAGCCAAGTGTATTAATTGTAAGGGAAAAAGAAGAGATACAAACAAATCTATTTCTACCTAAATCTGAAGCAGCGTTTATCTTCTTTTCAAGTGTCTGCACTGAAATACCTGTATGTTAAAATGGCATCCAAATCTGTTAAGAGAGACAAGCTCACAGAAGGCTGACTTAAACCATCATGAAACACACAGCCAGTCACAATGTCCAAACTGCATCTCTGCTTATGTTATGAAAGATTGTTTAGATGTCACGTGACAACATTGCGAATGACTTTCGATCCAAAAAAAACTCTTTTTTAAAGCCCTGTTGGTGCATTTGCCCATAAAAACAAATTACAACAGTAGAACTGAACCTGCACTTCTGCATGAAAATGTCCTGCATTTTAGATATCTGGAGATTTTTAAGTGAAAATCTGATTGGTTAAAGGATGGTTACATATTTGGTCTTGTATTTCCTTTATAATTTTAATTGAAAGTTGACATGTGACTCTGACAATGTTGGAAAGCCAAATAATCTTTTGCAATACAAACAAATTCTGTGTTTAATATCTAGTTGTAATACTTGAGGTACATTTTAAATAAAATCTTTACAAATAGTACACAATATAATTTATATATGTATAATTTTTTTTTTTTTTTTTTACAGACGTTTTACTTCAATATTGCACTGCATTCTGTTCTAGGGTTATCTGAAAAGTCTGTAAAAATGTCCTGGCAGAAATGACCAATGTCTACACCAGTTACTTGATATTTTTCACAGTGTGTAGAGATTTTGTGTTTATAGACGTCTAATAAACATCTAAACTTAGCTAAAACAAGGCTAAACTTGGGCTGTCAGTGAATATCTAATAGACATCTAAGAATAGCCTATCAAATTGACATATTGGACAGACTATGTGTAGTCATTCTAGATAGGTTGCATTTTACATAGTATTTTGACAGGTGATAAGTTCATTAGTCCTTTCAAAAATTAGTTTTTAGCAAGACAGGCTCTTAGATACCCAAACATTTAAAAATATTGGCTAGTGCAAACATTAAAGCTACCAGGACATGGGAAGAGGAACTTTACTTAGAAGATGACTACTGGGGTGCAGTACTGGACAATTTACGCACCTCCACTTCAGTTTTATAGAATTTAAAACTATTCACAGAGCTCATCTCTCAAAGGCCAAACTTTCAAAAATATATCCCAATGTTTCAGATATGAGTGATAAATGTAAACTTGCATCATGTAACCTTAGTCATATGTTTGTTTTTGTCCCAAGTAGCAAAACTATTGGATTACTTTCTTCAAAATGGGTTCTGATACTCTGGGGGTCACGTTAGCTGTTTGCACTTTAATTGCTATCTTTGGTGTTCCCCCGTAGTGTCAACCTTTAAACCGGAATACACTGACATTGTGGCTTTTGCATCTCTTCTTGCTAGGCGCAGAATACCGTTGTGTTAGACCTCCCCAACCCCCTCTATTTCATTGTGGCTCAAAGATTTGGTCTTCTTTTTAAGACTTGAGAAAATTAAATACAATATCAGAGGTAGGGGAGAACAGTTTTTTGAAAAATGGCAACAATTTATTGCATTCTTTAATCACTTAAAAACCATAGATGTGGCTTGATTAAAGGTATGTATGTCTATGGTTTGTTATTATTATTTTTTCTGTATTTGTATTTACTATTATTATTTATTATTTTACTTTAATTTATTTTGTTTTTTCAGATTGTTTTTTCTGATTGTTTTATTTGGGGATTGGTTTGTGGGTTGTTGTAAAATGCTATTTGCAAGAATAAAAATTCCTTGACAAAAAAATAATAAAATGGCTAGTGCATACTTTGACTATGCTACAGCCTTTTGGTACATCGGTAGTAATTCAATTCAATTCAATTCAATTCAGCTTTATTTGTATAGCGCTTTTACAATGTAGATTGTGTCAAAGCAGCTTCACATAAATGGTCATAGTAAATTGCAGATGGCCCAAAATAAATTATGTAGAATTGTTATGAAAGTACCTCCACTGACACATTTAAATAATGAACATTATAATAAAAGTAAATTTTTTTTATTATTTGAAAAAAGGGTAACTTTTCTAAAATTAGTGTTAGTGTTTAAGAAATTTACAGAAAATGTTAACAAAATATTTTATTGTACCAAAATATTTTCTTTTGGTACCAAAATATTTTCTATTTTAGTTAGTGAGGTACACTGGGATTCTACAAGTGCGAGCAGCAAAGATATTTATCCTTGTATATTTAAGAGTGAAACAGGTAGAAATTATTTTTTTGTGTACTAGCTCTGTTGCTTGGAATGTACTGCCAAGGAGTTTTAAAGAGATTCAATTTGAGAGTGTTTTTTAGAAAGGAAATTAAAAAATGATTCTTTTATGGTTGAAGTTGTGCTGAGTTGCTGAGCTGATGATGTTTGCAATACATTTATTATTTGCTCGTTAATTTTTTAAGAATATCGAGGACCACGAAGGAAATAAGCCGGTGGCTTTTTTATGTGATTTTATCCGTGATAGTTTTTAAAATATGTATGAATTAGTCTAACTGGACTTATTTGTATATTTTTGTTTTTGTCAAATAAAAATTGTCAATATTCAAATCAAATTGTCAAATAAAATCAATTAATCAATCAAATTAATTTCTGTTTGTTTGATGACTAGTCTAGTTTTGGGCTAGGGCTGTGCGATTAATCGAAATCGAATCACAATTTGAAATGTTGCGATTAGTTAACTGCAGGAGGCTGCTATATAAAATAGATATGTACATATGTAAACAAAAACAACAAAGAACATCTGAGGTGAAGTGCTTCAGAACCAGCTATGCTTCAGAAAATTAAACATGCTAGGCTTTCTGCAATGGTGTCATGAGGCATTGCAGACATGATATTGGTTGTTTAAGCCGCAATACAGGAGAAGAAATGATTGAATGCTGTCACGACGTCTATTTGCTGTTTACAACTCCCCACGACACCCTACATCAAGCAAATTGTGCTGAAATCATGTGATCTGACCGGGGCTTTATAACTAGCTATTTGAGTAAGCACACTTTTGTTCGGCCCAATCAGACTTGCGCAACTGAACTCCGCCCACAATAAAAAAAGAAAACAAACAGAAAATAGCTGACAAGTAAGATTATGGCGTTTGCTGCTTCAGAAGCATTAATAGATGAATTAATATTAAAGACAAACATCATTTGTAATAAGGGAATATTTTGAGTATTTTGAATATTTTTAAGAGCTGTCGCAGAATTGTTACCACGGTTTACAAATTACTGAGCTGAAGCTTGAATTAAAAATAAAATCAGCTTAAATTAAATCGTAATCAAATCGCAATATCTGTCAAAAAAACAAATAAATAAAATCATCGCAATTACATTTTTCCCCCAAATTGCACATCCCTATTTTGGGCGATTCTTAGATGTCAATTAGATTTTTACTGACAGCACAAATTTAGCCTTGTTTTAGCCAAGACGGCTATGTTTAGATTACTATTAAACATCTATAAGACTTTTTTAAAAAAACAAAAATGCTTGCTGGGTAAATATCTTGAATGTTAACATCCAATAGAAAATGTTTTATCCAGACACAAAGTTATTCAGATACCTACAATGCAAGACGTGCGTCTTTAATACCACTGAACACAAATATTTTTATGTAGCCTCAACACCACTCTGACTGTAAATGGAGAGCGGACTCAACTGACAAAGGGTCACTTAACAGGAGTTGAAATAAAAGAGTTACATCAACAACCAACAAGCCTGTTCGAAAATACGTTTGGCATTAAATGTCTCTTCTAAATCAAAACCGGTCGCAAGTAAACTAGCACTACCCCTCAGAAAAACAGATCTTCTAGGGAAGAAAATTTAGCTTGGACAATCCCAAGACCCAAGTGTAGATGGTTGGCTTGCAGCCTGATCAAATTTGCAATCGCCAGCGAGTGTGATATAGATTTGGGAGAGCTATGATAAAGTTAGGATACGTTTGCCAACTTCACATTTGTGCATATAGTTCATTGGCAGCTACAGTCCTACATTGTCAATGATTCAATATTAAGAAATGTAAGACACAGTAAATCACAAAAAAATAAAAATGATGACCCGTTTAAAATGTCAAGACTTGTTGAAAACATACAAAAGTGGCTTAAAAAAAAGAATGACATCAATTATTGAAGTAAGAATTTCATGACTAGAATGAGAATAAAAATACTAAACTGGATTCAATCCAGATCCAGTGAATGAGGCTGTTCAGAGAGAGTGTGTATGTGTGTGTGTGTGTGTGTATCCGTGTTAAGAAGCACTCAGGTTTATGCTGTGCATGGAAGGGGTGTGCTTGTTTTTGTACTTTAAGATATCCTTCTGTCAGGGTTGAGTGTTCCGTGCTTTTAAGGTGACTGTGTTTATGCGTGTTTGGTTTGGTGTGTGTTGAATGTTGACTGGAGGAGGGATCAGATGTTGTTTTAAGTCTGTAACACATAGGTCAGTCGGGATATAGTGAGGGGACGTCTCTGAGTCACGTGTCCTCCCCGTCCCCTCAAAGCTCTACCTCTTTTGAGATCTGTGATGCAATATGCCTGAAGGCGAGCGGGGCCCCCCACAGGCGTGTATAGCGTACTCCGTTTGCCTCTGCGGGACCCACACTCAATTGGCACACCTCCGCTTGGAATGCGACTTTTGACCCTGCCGCCCCATGACTGCAGCACAGCAGAAACGGGCCAGCGTGCCGGACCTGGCAGCCGCATCCCCTCGCTGCCTCACGCAAGGCCAGTACCACTTCTGCAGGGGCCCGAGGGGGACGGGAGAGACGAGCCCTTACATCCCACCCCCCTCCCCCGCCCCAGGGCTCGGACGCTTTCTGATCCCCAGATAAATGGCCACTAGGACAGAAAGGAAAGAGACTGTGTGAACGACAGGTACCAACGCTAAAAGAGTAAATGTTCAGAAAAATACCTTCCTTCAGAAATCTGTTGTTGAAACTTGTATTCTAGTTCAGTGTTTCCCAACCACGTTCCTGGAGGACCACCAACACTGCATCTTTTTTGATGTCACCTTTGTCTGTCATATCCATTACAGGTCTTTCAGTCTCTGCTAATAAGCTGATGATCTGAATCAGGTGTGTTTGGTTAAGGAGGCATGGAAAACATGCAAAACTGGTGGTCCTCCAAAAAGGTGGTTGAGAAAAACTGTTATAGTTTATTTCATTTCACTGTATAGTTTATAGCTTTACTATTTGTATTAATATATCTTGTTTGGATTTTTTACATCCATTATTTTGACACAGATCTCTGGAATACTTGATTCTTAATGGTCAATCAATACTTTCCAAGGTATGGTTTTGCCAGAAAACAACTGCTGAAACTAATAACATGGCCACATCTGGAATTTCCAATCATCTTGGTTGTTAGCTAACATATTCACAAGTTTATGTTTGTGCTTACATTGGTCATGCCACTGTTCTTGGTTATTGAGTACAATCTTGTGACTCAATAATGTGTAGGTTATGGTTTAGATGTTTTTGTTTCTTTAACTTTTACATTCATTTAAAGAGTTAAACTTTTAAGGCTTAGATCAATGACTTGAATCGAGTTTAGTTTTGTTTTAAGTAGCTGTGTAATAAGCAAGATAATGTACATCTAGGATGTTTTTTTTAGCAGAATAATGCCCTTCATGCTTTTACAGCAATGCTAAGCCATCAGGCCTTATTCAGCAAGAACAACCACGTAGATGAACATTAGCTCTTACTTGTCAAAGTTTTCTGTGAATTGACAATTTGCTGTACTGAAAAATAATTGGATTTCCTTTATTTTCATTGTCATCTTTAGACATTCAGACTTTATAACTAACTTTGCAACTACATCTCAGCTAACTCTCCAAAGTATCAGATAGTGATTTATTTTTCAGCCTTGTTCCATTTATATACACATTATATACTTACTACCAGTGTTGGGAAAATGTACTTTTAAAAGTAGCGCATTACAATATTCAGTTACTCTGTAAAAAAGTAACTAGTTGTGTTACATAGTTACTTTTTTGGTAAGTAATATGTTACGTTACTTTTGAGTCATAACTTACAGGGTTTTTCTTTTTTTTTTAAATGCATGAGCTCTGCCATTAATAACATTTTATTTACATTAAAAAAAAAAATAATAATAATGGAAGATAATGTTTTCTTCTAAGAACTTCCTGACCCCCAAGCTATATGCCATATATACAAATTCATGAAAATGTAAAGCAGTGTGTTTGCTACTTTAGTACTTTATGTCTTATTAGTGAAGTAAAATCACTGTCTATAAAAGACAACCACCTTTCCCCTTTCTTTGATCCGTTCAATAATGAGAAAACTTCCATCAAAGAATTGTAAGACTCTTCCATCTTGGTTTCTGTCTGTTCCTGAATTCTCTCGTGTACTGCGGAATATAACGTGACTATGTTCATTTTATTTAGCAATATATTATTTTATAAGCTAATTAATTCAACTAAAAAGTAACTAGCATTAAATTTTTTAAAAAAGTAACTAATACTATTGCTTAATTTTGAAAAGTAATGCATTACTTTACCCATTACTCAGAAAAGTAATATTATTACATAACTCGCTTTACTTGTATTTCATTCCCCAACACTGCTTACTACACTAAATACATCAATAGGGTAATACCTAGATTTTAACCCTGAATTTAACCCTAAACTAAACTAAAACATCACTTAACATCTGTAATGCTCCTATTATTCAACATCTATTAACTGCATTTTAACAATATTCATACTTTATCTTAATAATACACAGTCAACTACAGTTTGAAATACAAATATTTCTCCCTCCAGCACAATGTTAAAAGTCTGTTCTTCTTAATAGTATGAAACAAAAATCATATTTTGTCTTAAACGTGTTATAGATCATATTAGAAAAATTTTATTGATGTTTAATAAAAAAAAATGAACAGTAAATTTAAATCAAAATGTCATAAGTCAAACTTTCACACAGAAAAAGATCTGTTACTATTATGTCACCACTAGCTAAACAACAGCAAGACACTAGTTGGAATGCATGGTCAATAGCATGCAAAAGTACCCTAAGCTCTCAAACTCAATTCCCGGAGGGCTGCAGCTCTGCAAAGTTTTGCTCCAACCATAATTAAACAGCTGATCAAACTAATCAAGTTGTTCAAGACTACTGGACACTACTAGATTAGCTGTGTTTGATTACGGTTGGAGCAAAACTGTGCAGAGCTGCGGCCCTCCAGAAATGGACTTTGAGACCTATGACAACTGTAAATCCCAACATGCAGGACTCACCCTGTGACCGAAGATCTGCTGACTCCCTCAGATTCATTTGAGACCCTGCAAAGAAAGACAGACTTTAAGATGCCTGCATCACACCGATATTGTCCCAATCATGCAACACAACTCCACCGTGACCAACAAAAAAAGACAAACATACATAACTGGATCACTCCTGACCTGTCTGAAAACGACTCGACGATTTAATGTGCTAGCAGGTCAACATATAACTAATTGACCAAAGTTGACCTAATCTGCAATAGGACAACTGGATGCATGCAAACCGATACGAGACAAACTCTCCATGCACCATCATCCAGACGTTCCTCACCCTCACATCCTGTTTACCAGACTCTGCAAAAGAGACTGCATGCAGATGAGCATGCCATGTGCAGAGACAGACGGACGTGCAGACAGGCAAACAGAGGCAGACAGGGGAACTTACTAACTGTTTTGGATCCCTGTGGAAGAGTGCAACCCGACACTGATTTATTAGAGCCCTGGCGTTTAGAGGGGTCAAGATTGACCCTAGGAGAGAGAAAGAGAGACACAATGAGGACGATAAGAGAGAAAGAGTGAGATAGGATATCGAGTGATAGCGAGAGCAAATGCAATAGGATGAAAGAAAGGAAACAGAGAAATAAGAACAAAGAGGGAGAGATTAGGAAAGGTGCACATTTGCAAAGCTTCAAAAAGACAGGCAATAAGCCAAGAAAAGATGAAGGCATGAAGCGTGAGTGTAAAACCAACTTTAAAGCCGAAAAATCCCCCATTGGGACCTTAGTGTTATTGGACAGGCAGCACTCCAGTGACCCTTTTTTTAAGGAATCCTGTTATTTGAAGCAGTAATGTGTGACTCAAATAAAAAATTTTCATGTGTCAAAATTACATTTTCAAATGTACCTATTTCAAAGCCAACCACTGACTAAGCGATCAACATAACCATTTTTAGACTGACAGCAACTGACAGAATTCACCAGGGTGTTTACAAAGTTAAAATGAAGATTTCAATCATTTAAAAAAAACGACTTATATGACAATGCAATGAAAATACTTGCGCATATCAACATACAGTACCTTTTCTTTAAAAACATGTCATAGAGAGGTGAAGTGAGCCCACTTAGGGTGCTTTCACACCTAGACCTTTGTTTCGGAACCTGGTGCATTTCCCCAGTTAGCGCGGTTCATTTGGCATATGTGAATCCAGCAATCACGTTTGGATCTGTGCCAAAACAATCGGTCTGAGATCGCCTGAATGAGGTGGTCTCGGCTCGATTGAAACGAACTCTGGAGCGGATCGACTGTAGTGAGAAAGCAAAACCATCCAAGCCCAGCTATATCACTGTGTATTATGGATATGTAAAAGGCATATATACGGTTATATGAAAAGAGAATTATGAGTAGGGCGGGATGACATTCATACCGGTAAATGTTTATTTCATGTCAAATACAAAAGTGAAAGTTTGTTAACTTTAAACGAGAGCTTTTTATACGTTAGAAAAATTGACCGAACTGTAGTCTTGGTTTATCTGTTATTTCTCTCTATAATTTAAAGCTTATAATGCATGATCCTTGCCAACTGCTATGTATGAGAACGTCTCGCTTCTGATTTGTATTTGGTGATGATGTGGGTGTCACCATTCAACATGAAAGCGCAGCTTTTCGCTTATGATATCTTATTGCTCATTGCCATAAATTAAAATAAGGACGCATGACAGCTAAGCAGGAGAGTTTACTCGCACGTGACATGTTTTAGCTCTTTTAGAAACTTTGCTGTGTAAAAGTGAACCGCACCAAGAACAAAAAAGCAACATTGTAACAATTTTGATCTCTGTTTTTGTACAAAAGAGGTGTGAAAGCACTCTAATTCATTTTAGTATTTGCTCAAATCAAATGTGACAGTGACTACATTTACATGGACATCAGTAATCAAATTATTTGCCTTAAGCTAATTAAGACAATAATATGATTAAGATGTTTACATGAGTTGCTTTTTGAATGTTCCTTAAATGATCCCGTTTTAAATGTTATAGCACACGATTCGATTAATGTCACTGCTTCATCTCACTATTCACATTTCCTCTGGAGTTTTATGTAATTTCGGGTGTTTCATTTTTAATTTGTCGACGTTAACTGCAGTTTGGCACTTTCACTTTCATTCAGGAACATATCATGCATATGAATCACTGAGATTTGAGCAGAAATTCCATCACATTCAAAACCATCATGTCTTTGGCATTTTGGTATGAGCTGAGTGAAAGTCCTTTGATTGGTTATTAATAACTGTTCAACGAATGGTTAAAGTAAATGCGGCAACCGCTGGTGCTAGAAAAAAGACTGAATATTTTTATATTGAGGTATTGAAAGCCACAGGGCTGTTGATGAACAAGAATTGCTTTTTGTCAGTGTAATGCACCAGTTATGTTTCCAAGCATGGTAGATTACTTCCATGAGAGCATAACAGTTCTGCCCTTCACATCACTTGGGGCCACATGTATCAACGCTGTGTACGCACAAAAACTTTGCGTACGCCAAATTTCACGCTCACGTTTGGATTTACTAACGATGAAATGAACATGAGAATGTGCGTTGGTCCACGCCAACTTCATACCTGGCGTACGTTCATTTCTAGTGTGTATTTGTTATATTTCCATTGGCGACTATTAGAGGCAGTGGTGTTAAATTGCACACTACAAAGAATATTTGAGCGTGTAATGGCTGCTGTATGGGACAGGTTCATCCGCATGTCTAGCAGGTATACAAGATTTCCATACCATGTAGTTGACCAGCCAAACATTAAAGCGCAATTTGCAGCGGTCGCCGGTTTTCCCAATGTAATCGGAGTGATCGACTGCACATACATTGCTATAAAGGTGCCACCTGAAGACGAATTTGCATACGTGAATCAGAAACATTTCCATTCAATAAATGTGCAAATAACATATGATGCACACACTTATTAATGATTCATGACAAACACACGCACACCCACAAACACACGCACACAAACATGCCGGTCGATTGAAGTAACACTGCAGATGGACATTATATTGAGTCTCTACCCAAAGATGAAACCTCAGCATTATAACCAAGCAGTTGGAAACTTCTGGAAGCTACATGCTACAAAGAATACTTCATCTGAGTTTGTTAAAGGAAGGATCAGTAAAGAGTAACTGATGGACGTCAGGATGGGTTTCTTCCAATTCTCAAGTGTGACTTCAACATTTACGTTGACAAACCGCAAGCTGCAGACTTTCAGACTTTGCTTGCCTCTTTTGACCTAAAAAGAGCACCTACTTCTGCTACCCACAAATCAGGTAATCAGCTAGACCTTATTTACACAGGACACTGCTTCACTGATCAAACAATAGTAACTCCACTACAAATATCTGATCATTTCCTTCTGTCTCTCAACATCCACATTACTCCTGAGCCGCCACACACTCCAACACTGGTTACCTTTCGCAGAAACCTACGATCTCTCTCACCCAATAGACTATCCACCATTGTTTCAGACTCTCTTCCTCCATCTCGCAAACTCACTGCACTTGATTCGAACAGTGCCACTAATACACTCTGCTCCACACTAGCATCATGTCTAGACCGATTATGTCCTCTTGCATCCAGGCCAGCCCGTGCCAGTCCTCCTGCACCCTGGCTCTCGGATGCTCTCCGTGAGCATCGCTCAAAACTTCGGGCTGCGGAGAGAATTTGGCGGAAAACTAAAAATCCTGCACATCTCTTAACATACCAAACTCTTCTGTCCTCTTTCTCAGCTGAGGTTACTTCTGCAAAGCAGACGTATTACCGTCTGAAAATCAACAATGCCACTAATCCTCGCCTACTTTTTAAAACATTTTCCTCCCTCCTCTATCCTCCTCCTCCACCCGCATCCTCCACACTTACTACTGATGACTTTGCTACATTCTTCTGCACCAAAACTGCAAAAATCAGTGCTCAATTTGCTGCACCTACAACAAACACGCAAGATACAACACCAACACCACACACACTCACCTCTTTTTCTCAGCTCTCTGAGTCTGAGGTGTTTAAACTTGTGCTATCTAGCCATGCAACCACCTGTCCACTCGATCCCATTCCCTCTCATCTCTTGCAAGCCATCTCTCCTGCAGTCATACCAACACTGACTCACATAATTAACACATTTCTTGACTCTGGTTTATTCCCCACTTCATTTAAGCAGGCTAGGGTAACCCCACTGCTAAAGAAACCCAACCTGGACCATACACTACTGGAAAACTACAGACCAGTATCCCTGCTTCCATTCATGGCCAATATTCTGGAGAAAGTAGTGTTCAATCAAGTTCTGGACTTTCTTACTCAAAACAATCTCATGGACAACAAGCAATCCGGCTTTAAGAAAGGCCACTCAACTGAGACTGCCCTGCTCTCGGTCGTGGAGGATCTCAGACTGGCTAAAGCAGACTCTAAATCATCAGTCCTCATTTTGCTGGACTTGTCAGCTGCTTTTGACACTGTCAACCACCAGATCCTGCTATCTACGCTTGAGTCACTGGGCGTTGCGGGCACTGTTATACAATGGTTCAGATCTTACCTCTCTGACAGGTCATTCAGGGTGTCTTGGAGGGGAGAGGTTTCCAACCTACAGCATCTAAACACTGGGGTACCTCAAGGCTCTGTTCTTGGGCCACTTCTTTTCTCCATCTACACATCATCTCTAGGACCAGTCATCCAGAGACATGGATTCTCCTACCACTGCTATGCTGATGATACCCAGCTATACCTCTCTTTTCATCCTGATGATCCCTCGGTTCCAGCTCGTATCTCAGCCTGCCTGTTGGATATTTCACACTGGATGAAAGATCATCATCTTCAGCTGAACCTCGCAAAAACGGAAATGCTTGTAGTTTCTGCCAACCCGACTCTACACCATAACTTTTCAATCCAGATGGATGGGGCAACCATTACTGCATCCAAAATGGTGAAAAGCCTTGGAGTAACGATTGATGACCAACTAAACTTCTCTGACCACATTTCTAGAACTGCTCGATCGTGCAGATTCGCACTCTATAACATCAGAAAGATCCGACCCTTCTTATCTGAACATGCAGCTCAACTCCTTGTTCAAGCTCTTGTTCTCTCCAAACTGGATTACTGCAACTCTCTACTAGCTGGGCTTCCAGCTAACTCTATCAAGCCTCTTCAACTGCTCCAGAATGCAGCAGCACGAGTTGTCTTCAATGAACCTAAACGAGCACATGTCACTCCGCTGCTAGTCCGTTTGCACTGGCTGCCAGTTGCTGCTCGCATCAAATTCAAAACTCTGATGTTTGCCTACAAAGTGACTTCTGGCCTAGCACCTTCTTATCTGCACTCACTTCTGCAGATATATGTGCCCTCCAGAAACTTGCGTTCTGTGAATGAACGTCGCCTCGTGGTTCCATCCCAAAGAGGGAAAAAATCACTTTCACAACTACTAATACTTCCCTTCTTAGACTTTACAGACCTGAAACTTGCCTTTAGTACTTATTCATTGTTGCTCTTAGTTGTGTAAATTGCTTCCTTGTCCTCATTTGTAAGTCGCTTTGGATAAAAGCGTCTGCTAAATGACTAAATGTAAATGTCATACTTGTCTTCCTCGTGATGAATAGTAGACAAAATCTGATATGTAAAAAAAAAAAAAAAGAATGAGTTCATGAGACGCTGGATTCGAACCGAGTTCATGCTCAAACGTGTCAAAACATGTTACTATGTGTTTTACGAGCTGCGCCACTCACGCTGTTAAAGGTGCTACAAACATTTACACTTTTACATCACACTATTTCTTTTTTAATCCACTCAGTGCAATGTTTAGACCCAACTTTGTTAACCGCATCAGCTCAACTCTCTCTATTCTTTTCTTTTGTTGTTAATTCCGGAGGCCAAACTTGCAAATAACACCGTTTTTCTCCGGTCTACCTCCGAAAGCAGCACCTCCAATACACATTCTGCTCAAAGTTTCTCTTTTTGCTTGCTTTTGCCATTGCTTTTTCGTTGGGTTTTGCCGAAGTAGAGTCATTAGCATATTCATATGGGGGAGGAGGCAGGGAGGGGTTTTGCGCTTGTGCACGAGCGCTCAGTTTCAAGTTCATTCGGATGTACGAAGAGAATATGCATGTAATTCGGAGTACGCAGTTTTACGAAATTTTTTACTGCGTACGCAATGTTTTAGTATGATTTCAACGCAAGTCTTCGTACATGAGGCCCCTGGGCTTTGATCTGTACCTCAGCTCTTTCTGATGCAATTACTACTGCAGGAAAAAACCTTGTCTGATCGTTCAATGATCGTAAACAATAATCTCCATTGGGTCAGTCAGACTTAAGAAATATTTAAAAGTAATGTCACTAAAACATTTAAGACCTAAAAAGGCTTTTTAAGAACCCTGAGTCACTTTCATTATCCATTCAATAGTCCTGTGAGAACGAGTGACCTTTGGCAAGGTGTTTTGGCCTTGTCTGAAGATTTAGTTTAAAGTGTACATTCATTAAAATGACCACAAAGCAATTACTAACAATAGTGGTTCATTAGTTTCTTATTTACCATTCATTCATTCATTTTCCTTCGGTTTAGCCCCTTTATTAATCAGGGGTCACCACAGCGGAATGAACCACCAACTTATCCAGCATACATTTTACACAGCGGATGTCCTTCTAGTTGCAGTTCAGTACTGGGAAACACCTATACACTCTCACATGCACACACAAACACTAGGGACAATTTTGTTTTATCAATTCAACTGTACCATGTTTTTAGACTTTGGGGAAACCGGAGCACCCAGAGGACCCCCCCCCCACATGGGGAGAACATACAAACTCCACACAGAACTGCCAACTGACTCGGGACTCAAACTAGTGACCTTTTTGCTGTGAGCCACCATGTCACATTCTTATTTACCCGAAAGCCAAAAATAAAGAAATGGTTTCATTAAAATTAGATGAATCAATATGCCTTCCAATGTGTTGTGATTTTCAGCCAAGTTATGGCTCTCTTCTTATATAAGGAGAGGTGTTACTGATTGTGAGAACTGAATTTTTAAAAACATATTTCAGATCCGGAACAAAATCTGACCACAACCAGTATGATAAATTTGTCCTTTTTCAGCAAAGAACACACTGTACAATTTACAATAGTCCTTCAAGATTGTTGCTTGTCAGACTGTACGAACATGTTCCCAGCTTTAAGCCATGTCATACCGAGGGATCTCTGCTGTCATTAATGCCAGACTGGCTGAAGACAAGTCAAGAGTTTTACATCATCAGTCCAAGAAACTGCACCACATTCACATGCAGAACTCAACTGGTAACTAGCAACCACAAAAATGATCTTTTACCAATAAGGCAGCTGATTTTAAATCAGATTCCAGCTGCCATAGGGAGCACTGCATTTCTTTCCATTAAAGAATGGTTCAACCTAAAAGAAAAAAAAAATTAAACTGTCATTAATTACTCACCATCATGTTGTACCAATCCCCCTGAGATATTCGTCATCTTTGGAACATACACAAAGATGTTTTAGATTAAACCAGTGAGCTCTCTCATCCCCCATACATGAGTCCAGTAACTGAACCAAAAACATTCCATATAACGTCAGCGGTCAGTTTGCTAATATCTTCTGTCCCATATTAGTGTGTCAGAATGCACATTTACTACAGGCAGTACAACACATTGCCATTACAGTCAGCAGAGCAACGCACAATTGTTGTGTTATCCATAGTAAAATGCACACCCTAATCTGACATGGCAGACAATTGCAATAAAAAATGTTTTTACCACAAAAATTTTCTTTAAGCTCCATTTGATTAAAGTTGAACCACTGAGGTCACATGGAATGTTTTGACAATGTTTTTGGTTTATTTTATTGACTTTAGAATGTCTTGGGACTGCTGCTGAGGTTTCAGAGAGCTCTCGTAATATACTGAAAATATCTTTATTTGTTTTCTGATGATGAATGAAAGTCTCATTGAAACGATATGAAGGTGAGTAATTAATAACAGAATTTCTATTTTTTGTGTGAATTATTCCCTTAATTGTTTATGACATGATACCCTGTATGGTGGCACAGTGGTTAGCACTGTCATCTCACAGCAACAAGGTTGCTTCCAGTTGGCATTTCTGTGTGGAGTTTGTATTTTCTCTCGATCGTGTTGGTTTCCTCTGGGTGCTGCCCCCACAGGTATAGGTAAATTGGATAAATTAGTGTATTAGGTATGTAAATGACAATCCCTCCACAGTGCTAAGTTGTGGCTGAAAGGACATCCACTGCTTAAAACATATGCCAGAGTAGTTGGTGGTTCCACTGTAGATAATTTATGCAACCCAGGCTCATTCTGAAAATGTACCTGTATATACATTTATGGCGAGTGGCAAATGTGTCCAAGGAGCTATGTTGTTTCGCAATTTTTATTTTGATGAATTCATAAAGAGGCTGCTGTGTCCACTTTTTGAGATCTCAAATTTTTCTTGTGAGTGCCATTCGTGCATGCTCTTCTCGCCTAAATCCGCCAGAGGCCACTGTTGACTGACTGTTTGACTGGCTGAATGACTGGCTGACTGATCGACAGACCCACCTTCCTCCCTCCCTGAACCCAACCAATAGTGTTTTCTAAACTTGTTTAATTTATTTTTTAGCTTTTGTTTTTATTTAACCTACTTTCTGGAACCATTCTTTGCCAGACTCGAACCCTGTCATCATGGTCAACTCGTCTCTGCATCCGCTGACGCACATGGCGAGCTAACTGAACAAACTGGTAACAGCGGGAAAGCCATCCATATGGAGGTAAGTGGTCAGCTGGTAAGCGCGAAAAGGAATGGCATCATACCGCCTCATATCGTTCGGTTTAAAGACGAAATGGAGCCATACGTACATCTGGCTTGATAATTCGCAATCTCCAGAAACGTATATAGGGCTTTATTTTCAGAATGAGTCTATGTTGAATTATGGACTAAGCCAAAGCAAAATGAATGAATGGTACCTCTATCTCTAACAGCATTAACACCTAGAAGTGATTAAAATTAAAGTGAGCTGCCAACCTCCAGCAATAAAACCTTTGTCAGTGTAAACAAGTCACAAGAACCACTTCTCCCTGGATCAGAGCTTCCTCATCTAAATGATGGTTTACTCATTTCTCTGTCGGGTGATGATATGTAGTCTCTTCTCTTACCTGCGTGTGAGTTTGGAGGTGAGTTTGCTGAACAGATTAGAAGTGGCCCGGCTGCGGGCATTGGCCGGCAGGGCTCCGGCGTCATGGCTGAGGGTGGGCGATGTGGGTGGAGGTCCATAGGTAGGCGGTACACGGTCACGGAGCTGACCCCCATGGAAGGTGCTCCGGATGGTGGATCCACGGGTCAGCCGACATCGCTCGCCAGAGGACGAGGAGGAGGAGGCTCCCGCTCCCACAATACTGAGGGTGGAGGGAGAGGTGGGGGGTAGGCGGTGGGACAGAGAGCTGAGGACAGACACAACAGACGTTATTAGTGTAAGAGCACTACATTATGCAGCAGAGTTTTTGCGCATGTATGTTTTTGACACCTGTTGTCTTTGCCGTTCTGCAGCAGAGAGTGTCGGTCAGTGCTGGAACGATCCGTACATACATATGTGTTTCTGCGGGTCATAGTGCTTCCTGGGATATTGTTCTATAGCAGAGATGGAACACAAAAGGTCATTAGATCAGCCATTAGCATCAGAGTCAAATTTACACATGGCCTTTTTATCTAATGTAAATAACCCATTTTGGTAACACTGCATGAAGGGGTGTTCATAAGACTGTTATGACTTTTATTATCATGACATGACATAATAGAGAACAATTTGGTAAATCCTTAATGCTGATAGTGTGAAATAGAACTAATTGGAATGCAGAACAACCCATTTGCTCATGCTCATTGAGCAAGCTCATACACAAGTCCAATTTTATGCATATAAATGACATTTTCTCAACAAAATTGTAGCTAGTGAAAATGGCTAGCGGGTTGTAATGTTGGAAAAATACTAGCCACAGTGGCTGCTGATCAAAAAAATAATAATATCAAGCCCCGTAAACATTTATTTGAATTGAATATTCTGTAATATATTAAAAGTAATTGCTGCCACTTTTGATTATATAAATGCCTTGTCCCTGAAGTATTCATACCTCTAACCTTTATATACAATGAATGAGTGTGGTTTATTTATGAACTAATTTCGAGAGGATCACGTGCTTATGATTGAACACAGCTGGTACTGCATTAGCTCCGTATATTTGCACCAAAAAGATGCATACGAACACACTATAAACTACCAAAGCTTTCTATTCCAGTCATCATTGTTTTGAAGAATCCCCCCTTCTACCCCTACTCCTCTCCTTCTCTGATAGGGCGATATGGCGGCCCAGTGGGTAGCACTATTGGCGCACCAAAGAACACTGCTGGTTCGGCCCTCTCCATACGTTCTCTGGCGTTTCTGTATGGACTTTGCATATTCTCCCCATGTTCGCATGGGTTTTCCCCAATCGCATGGGTTTCCTCCCACCATCCAAAGACATACACCATAAGTAAATTGACTACTTCAAAGTAGCATCCTAAGGCAACTTATATTTCAGCAGTTCAGACGTTGAGGAGTTCTCGAGACTTACCTGAGCTCAAACTCTCCTTTCGCCTTTCAAACAGGAGGGAGCCCTGGGCTCAAGGATATTCTAAGCTCAGGGCTCTCTCCTGGGACAGCATGCCAAATACGCTTTATTATCAATCATCAGCTAAGTGTGAATTCTTGAAATGATTAAATAAGAAACATGTTTCTCACAGTGGTGGCTGTCATCTCCTTGCGTCGATCAGGTATCTCAGCCTTGTTGGGGTTGTTGGCGGTGCTGACCATTGGACTTGATGGTGGCAGAGTCCGACTGCCCATAACGCTACAGCTGGCCTTCCTTGGTGGCATGCGGCTCTCACGAAGCTCACGATCTCCGCCGCTGGTTGGGCTTCGCTTAGGGTGCATCACAGGCATGCTGGGACCACCTGCAGAGCAAACTAACAATAATTATAATCATTAACTGCTCGAAGTATATTTTAATTTAGACTTTAAGCTCAAGTATCTCTTACAGAAATCACTGTGCCGTCGCTGGCGGTGGTAGGTAGAGGCGCTGCGCTGAGTCTTGCTGTGTGAGGATGAGGAAGATGATGAAGAGGAGGAGTGTTTGTTGGTTCCATTGGTAATTGGGCTCGGACGCACCCGCGGCAATGTCATACTGCCGCTAACTCGTGACTCAGCACCATCCTGTGATCAAACGCAAGTTGAGAGAATTAAAAATGTCTTTGTATTGAACTATTGGTATGAGAATTTTGGTTTGGTTGGTAATATGTGGCCACCCCAATATGATTTTGCTGTTGATAATATTAATTTAAATGCAATTACATAAATTCACAATATTTCAATAAATAAATTACTAAATAAATTGCATGGACAAAAATTGGCTGGCTGCATCTCAGGGAGGAACCGCTGATGTTCAACCACAGCAGATAAGCTAACTTGACCACAACAATTCCAAGTTTGCTTACATTATTTAAAAAAAAATGATATAACATAATTTGTTTCCTATTTTTTGACGACAAGAGATGAAACACGACTTTGGGTTTACAAGATTGTACACTTTTTATTAAGAAATCCGTAATGTTGAAATAATTTTTTTTTTTATATTCGATTGAAAACCAAAATCCAAAAATTTAATTAATTAATTAATTGTAGACATGACATTACTGTACATTGTACAATAAAAGTATATGAAAAATAACTGACCTGAAAAGTGTTTTTAAACTAAATATAGATTTTTATTTGGTTTGCACATTATTAATTATTGCAATATTTTGGGAGTAATTCATTAAATTAATTAAAACCACATTATTTCATTTACTAGAGACAAAATTATAACATTACACTGAATACATAATGTTTTTGTGCAACCACAAAATTTAGTGTGGCCTCATCTGGCCACCACAAAGAAAATTTTCTGGGGGCGCCACTGCCAAAACATGAGAATATGTTTAAGGCACGTGTCCACCAAGTGTTTTTGCATAACTAAAAATGGCAGCGTTCTTTAAAACACACTGAGTGTGCTTCTGCAGCATTGCAGAAAAAAATTCTTAAGAAAGAAAAACACAAATTAAAATGTTTTTTTTTTTTTTGGCTTTAGGATATCTAAGAGCTAGTGTGCTGCCAAAACAGTGACAAAAATCGGCATTTAGAAGATATAAACATTTAAAGCATTTTGTCACTTCTGCCTAAACTGATCACCTCATACTTCAGTTTCTCATAAACTCTTTTGATGAATCAAACAATAAAATACAAATAGCATGTGTCAAGTCTCAAGTCTCACTCTCTTCAAGAAGCTGTTAATTTGCAGTTGAGATGACGTCCAACATAAAAATAAATAAATAAATAAATTAAAAAAATAATAATAATAATAATATTATTTATATATATATATATATATATATATATATATATATATATATATATATATATATATATATATATATATGAGTTCTAATTAAATTACCAGAAAAAACACTTACAATGCAAGTATATACTGTAAGAGATATAGAGGTTTCAGACACAGCCAGGAATTATTTACTCTTCACATTAATTGAGCCCCTTACTTACACTATTCATTCACAAGCTTATTTCTGCCAGACTATAATTCTTGGCTGTGCCTTTGTGCCTACAGCTAGAGGCTATTTTCCACTGCAGGGGACACTGTCAGATCAAGCAGATCTGTGCTGTCCACAGAAAGTGTGGACACTGAGTAAAAACACACACTGTGAAATATACAGTTGAAGTCAGAATTATTAGCCCACCTGAATTATTAGCTCCCTTGTTTATTTTTTCCCCCCCAATTTCTGTTAAACGGAGAGAAAACTTTAACACATTTCTTTTTAATAATAACTGATTTATTTTACCTTTGCCATGATGACAGGAAATATTTAAAAAAGAAAAAAAAAATTAAAAGTGGGGCTAATAATTCTGACTTCAACTGAATATAGTGTTTTTTTTGCACTTGTTCATAACCAATACAATAAAAAAAATATTTATTTTTAATAAGAAGCTGTTTTTTTTCGTTTTATATGCTGCTAAGAATACACCACAGAGGATAGGCCAAGTACACCTCCATCATTGTTCAATGTAAAAAAAAAAAAAAAAAAAAAGATTATTTTAATAGATAAAAAAGTAAAAACAAAGATATTTCATGTCGCTATATGGTCCTTTTTTCACAAGCCTGTTATGACGCGTTTAATGGTCATCAGCATGTTAAGTCCTTAAAAGTTTTTAATATTTTGATTTGTAAAAATTGTTTAAACATTTATATGCATTTATAAATGATTTTCTTTCCTTTTTCTAAAGGTCTTAATAACACCATACTGTAGTTTTTGTTTTATTATTTCAGCAAATGGGATTGTAAAAAAATTATTAGTTGTACACTCCAATTCGCTGCGCTCTAAGTTTACACAATTATGGCGAGTTCTGCTGCTGAGAAACCTGGAAATGTAAAAAAGTGTCCATTGAAAAGTTACCAACCAGTGACACCACTGAACCATGAATTTTGTGAATCGTTACACCCCTAATAGATAGCTAAAACAACATAATGCATTTTATTCTTCATAACATAACATTTTACAGAATATATCTGCACATCTGACATTTACAGATGCATTACCTCAGTCTTCAGGCCCAACAGTAGATATGTCGCTGTGACTTCATTATATTTCTGATTGAGTAAAGAGTCCTTAATCTCCTCTGTAGTGAAACCCATCCCGACCATAATCTCTGAAGAGGCAGAGAAATCCATGACATTTTCCAGACACAATAAGTCTAAGTATAGATTTAATACATCAACATAATAAGACAGTAAGTGAAGTCAAACAGACATTAAAACATTACAATTTCCTACAGCTTACCAATGCGGTTGGCGTCACTGTAGTCTTCAGTTGGCTCAATGTGTGGCTTTAACTCATCACCATCATGGCCTGCATTCATCCATTTATCCTTCATCACTTGCTGTGGAGGAAATATCAGCATCCAGATTACACAAATTTACCAGTTCAGCCAGTTAGCTGATTGACTTTATAACTCAAATTGCACACAAATAATAGTTTCAAATTAATGACTTCCAGCAAATGCATGCTGTACATTTTAAGACATTACAGCTATCATTCTGTTTCTAGGGTTATCCTTTATATCCGTTATATCCAGTGTTTAAGTGTGTAAATGTAGGCACCTCTAGAGTGCAACGTTTGCTGGGATTGAGCACAAGAAATCTGCGCAGAATCCCCTCACAGTCTGTGGACATGTAGAAGGGCACACGGTACTTTCCCCTCAACACTCGCTCACGCAGCTCCTGGAAAACACACATGCACCAGCAAACAATGAGACTAAAACATATGAGTGTGTCTTTTAGAATTTAAAAATAAGAGGTTTATTTAAAAAAAACAAGAACATAAATAAAATGTGCTTTTAAAAGGTTAAACAAAAACATTCATGTACTTTCCAGTGGACAAATGAAATAACTGAGAGCTAATGCATACTGTCCTGTATATTCTTAGACTTTATAGCCATCATCATCTTTTTTAGTGTCATATTCAGGGTTTTAGAGTGAATTTATGTATGTGCACAACATCCCAATCAATACAAGAGAGTGTCTTGATACAAAACGACCCAACTGGATGTCAGACACTTTTAACTTGAGATGCAATTTTTTTTTTAACTTTAACATCATGATTGGTATGTCTCATCTAAAGGCTTTTGCGATGTAGTTTGAAGATACATTTTAGCTGAAAGACCTGACAAGGTTTTATGTATCAACATGAAACAGTGAGTTATTAATTCAATAATAATAATTACTTAAATAGGCATACAATGTCCTATATGCTACAAACATCACGTTTGTTTAGTGTCCTAATAACCCAAAGTCATCTACCTGCCAATATGTAGTTACATTACACAGCTCTGATGGCACATGTACTAATATGTTTCCTGATATTTTCTATGCAAATTTATGTGCAAGACAGGAATTTCGCATAGAAATTATGTGAATAAAGCAGTGTTTCCATCCAATCAAAGCGAATAAAATTGTCCCTTCCTGATTAACAGGCACCAAATATCAACAGTAAAAACAGAACTTGCTGCGGTAGGAGAAGTTGTGTGAATTTTTTTCTTTATTTAATAAATGACTTGCGCCTCAGAAGACAAATGTCGACACACAATGAATGTGCTGTGGCATTTGAAGGCTTCAGACAAGGAGCAAAGCAGACGCTCTTGATTCTGTATGTAATTAATAATATAATAACACTAATACTGAAATAGTTAAGCTATTTTAGAATGACCAAAACAACATTTCAAATGTTCTACAATGTTCTCAGCCTGCTGGTTTGTCCTTTCACACACATTTTCATCGTCACATCATCTCAAATAACAAAATCACATGATTTTTTTATGTGCATACTGGAATTTTATCAGTAAAAGTGTTTCCATTGAAGTTTATGCAAATTTTTTCTAATTGAATATGAATATTATCCTACTCGGTTATGCGCATACGGTTTTTAGGCGCATTTTCAAAATTCATGCGCATCTTGCCATTTCCATCAACCGTTTTTTATGCGCATATCCAAAATAGGCATAAAATAGGTGGATGGAAACATAGCCACAGAGAAGTGTATTTGATGTATGTTTTACATCTATAAGACATATTTATTGGAGTGTTTGCTCATCTATATTACGTCTGTTAAAGGTCCCAGATTAGACAGACGTGGTTAGTTGGTTTGTGGTACGCTTAAAAGCATACATTATATAAGCCATGTTCACTGTTTTTCTTAAGGCCTTGCTAATTTCTCCATGTGGATTTAATTTAAGCAATTTTTCTACATTTTTAACACTAAAACTTTGAGAATTCTATAACTAGGTACGCTAGAAGCGACACGTAACTATTTTTTTTGTTGTAACATAGCCTATAATTGTCTACAAGTGTGTACTGTACCTCACTTTGTCAAGCAGGAGAACAAAGTTTTTCCGGAAGTTAAAGATAATTGTTTAAATTATTTAATAAATTTCCCATTTATTGATTTTTATTAACGTCTACCCCCACCCTAACCATAAACCCAATTGTCACAGTAATGTAACAACAGTAGTTGTATCAAGTACTATTTATGATATCGATTTAATTGCCCAATAAGTTGTACTTTTTAACGCCCACCCCCACCCCAACCCTAAACCCAACTGTCACAACACTGTAAAAATATTAATTATTGTTATACAGTGTCATAATAAAAGCTGCTATATTGATGTGCATATCGCACTTCCGGCCGGCCGCGTATCTGATCTAGACTTTACCGAAAGACATGTCTGAAGTGTGTTTGCTATCAGAAAATTATGTTTTAGATAGTAAAAGGTGGCTAGGCAACAGAGCCATGCACATTCAAAGGCATAGGGAAAAGTAGCAGATGCTGAAATGCATGCAGTCAATTAGATCACTATAGCCAAGGTTGAAACTTAGGACCCTTGTGTTTTGTAATTTTAATAAAACAGCCATGTTAGAATTTCATATATGCACATTTAGGAAAAGTCTGACTACTATAGTTATATAGGTTTTATAATAAAGTTATTACACTACAAAATTTAAAAAGTGTCAAAATGGCTGCCTCGATAGTTCTGGTGTTAAACCTTTTAGGAAAATCATTTTAGTGGTACCAATATTTCTTAATATCGCTATCGGGAATTGTTCAAGGTTTTAAACACAAAAAATAATAATAAATAATGTGATTTTTTTTTTTTTTTTTAATGTGAGAAATGTCATCAACTCAATGTCACAACCACAGGTTACTACAAGCATATGGACTGCCCCATTCTCTCATTTTGGTTGGCCTTTTCCCCTGACCCCAGTCGATAGTGTGTGCAGTGGCTGGATTGTATGATAGTGACTATAGTTACGGAGCTGCTGTACCTTAAGGTTCTGTCCATCAAAAGGAAGAGATCCGCTGACCAGTGTGTACAGGATGACCCCTAGGCTCCAGATGTCCACCTCTGGCCCATCATACTTCTTTCCTTGGAACAGCTCTGGAGCAGCGTAAGGCGGGGAACCGCAGAAAGTGTCCAACTTATTCCCCAATGTAAACTCATTACTAAAGCCAAAGTCTGCTATCTTTATGTTGGAATCTGCATCCAACAGCAAATTCTCTGCCTACAAAGACAGAAAGAGTGAAGGACAGAAACAAATAATTAAGTTGTAACTGTGGGAAGGAGAGACAAATAAAGAGAAAGAAAAAGGGGCAGTTCATTTGAAATGACAGCTCATCAATTCAGATAGTCCAGAATAAAAACTCAACAGGAATATATATATATATATATATATATATATATATATATATATATATATATATATATATATATATATATATATATAAATTCGCAAAAATCATAAAATAAATAAACATTTATTTTTAATTTCATACCTTCAGATCTCTGTGAACAATATTCTTCTGATGACAGTAGTGAACAGCTGACACAATCTGAAACAATATTAGTGAACATTACCCGATTAAAATGTAAATGATAGTGCAGTTAAAACTGTAAACCAGAAGGTTATTGTGATTAATACTTTTACTTTTAAACCAGTAAATGTCTCACTTGTCTGAATTTGGCTCTAGCCTCAATTTCTTTCATTCTCCCATGAGACACCAGATAATCAAACACCTCACCTGTAAAACCAAAGCACACATGAGTACTGTCCCAAATATCACAGTAGCACATGAGTATCAAAAGCATATTTGCATTACAGCTTTGGAAAGACAAATAAACACCCTATAATGAGGACACACATCACACAGCACATTTACTCAGCCACAGCAGTATATAAAAAGTTACACAATATTATATATGCCAGACTTAATAGCTCACCTCCACTTGCATATTCCATCACAAGATAAAGCGTCTTCTCTGTTTCGATAACCTCAAAGAGTTGCACTGCAATATATATAAAAGTCTCTGTCAATAAATACTAGGGCTGTGCGATTCATCGCCTTGCAGCACGATTTTCCCACAGTATGTTATTTGAACCAATCAAAACGCAGCATGCCTAAACAGAGCGTAAGAACAGGAGACAAATAGCCTGCATAAACAGGGATGATGAGTTCAGCACAGGAGGACTTGGTGCCCAAAAAAGTCAACATCTATGGTGTGTGATTACTTTGGATAGAGGAAGGCTGATGTATCACCGAATTAGGTAATTTGTAATACTTGTCAGTCACATATTGCGTCTAAAAGCATGTGGAAAGCACGAGGTGCGTGGATTTTTTCAGCATTCAACGCGCTTTACGTTAGTGCTTCTTTGTCATTGCACTGCGTCTATCAACTGTTGTCTCAGAGGATGACAAACTAACAAAAGATTGCTGCAGTTCCGATTCAAGTTTTAGTTATGGAGAAAATGAAAATGTACTAGGTGTTTGGGTGTTCTGTGTTTCTCTGAGGTATTTAGTCAACCGAAATGTGTAATTTCTATATAAAAAAATGAAGCTGATTGTTTAATTCTTGTTACGTGTCTCGCAGTGCGCTTGCAGCAGTCTAAAAGTATTGAGGTTTTTAACTGGGTGTGCATGGAATACGCGCGTGCATCACTGCCAATACGCATGCAGGCCTGCTGCTTTCATTAAAAATAATGAACTTGAGCGTGCAAAAGACGCGATATGTAAACAGACTATTTCACGGCAGCATCAGAAAGAGGTCTAGGATCTATGCATGGCAAAAAAAAAAAGAATCTGTGAGCACGTACAAAAGTACACGCAACTACTTCTAGCATTGTCAAGCAGAAAATAGGAGCCTACTTGTGTTTGACGGCGCGTACACACACTCACACACATACACATCCGATAGTCTATTTATTTGTTTTGCCATAATGTCGTTCTAGAGACAATTTGTTACACCTTTACTAGGTGATTTTAATTTTTTATCCTGTTTTAGAGACAACTCACAGGTCCTTATTAAAGCTCTAATTGTATTTCTTTGGAAAAATGTTTCAGATTCACAATGTAAAACGTTGTGTGTGTGTCAAACTCAAGATTAAAATCAAAATTGCAATATTGTTCAAGAAAATCGGGATCGGTTTCTTTTGCCCATATTGCACAGCCCTAATAAATACCTTGAGAAAGTTTATATTTAAATAACTTTTGTTCATTATACTACCAAGTATTTATTAGAAAAGTACACACATTTGAGTGCATCTTACCAATGTTTGGGTGATGTAGAGTCTTCATGATCCGTACCTCTCTGAACAGCTGCAAAAACAGAAAAAAGAAGAAATAACAGTACAGAATGAATCTTTAGTGGGTATGGAAATCAGGATGGCAATGGCATTTAAACTAATGCTAAAATAAATAGATTTTCTTATCATCATCATAATCATCAACCTGAAGCCAGACTGTTGTGTCAACTTGACAGTGTTTTATATCACCTTGTTTCCAAGAAGTAAAGTATCAAACAATGATGTAAACTGCTATAAAACAACCATAGCATGACAATACCATCATTATTCAGCTTCACTTCATGTTGATAGAAAAGCAGGACAGAAATTTCAGATATACTCAGCATCTGTAAAGTTTTAGTTCTGTAAAATTTTTGTTCTCTTTCCGTCTGCAAAAAGAACACAGTGCCCTTCTTGTTGCTGTTTAAAAGCCCCTGCAGCTGCACCAATCTGCATATGTCCCATAATATATCTCACAGTGTTCTGGAGTGTGTTCAGTAATTCAGAAGCATCCATACACCCCTTATTTCTTTAATTCACTGCAAGGCACCCATGCACACAGCTAAAAATGCATACAGAGGTTTAATCAAACCTTTAGGAGCTTGGACATCTAATCTTGTCAATCATATCAAAATTATAAATCTGCTATAAAAGGCTTACAGAGGCTTGTCCATTCATAATGGCATTAGTGTTGTCTTTTTTATTGCATGGCCTCGTTCTCAAAATGACAAAAGTACAATTTGAAGGTTTTCTTCAACACAAGGCATCCTCTTATGCAGCAAACTTCTTGAATTTCTTTTGTGATTTTTATTATTTAAATTCTATTTTGATATAAAGAGCATCCGGAAAGTCTTTATAGTGCTTCACTTTTTCCACATTTTTAATGCCATAGCCTTATTTCAAAATAGATTAAATTTATTTATTTCCTCAAAATTCTACACACAATACCCCATAATGACATGTGAATAAAGATCTTTTGAAATTGTTGCAAATTTATTAAAAATAAAAACCCTGAAAAATTACATGTACATACTGTAAGTATTCACAGCCTTTGCTCTGTGTTGTTCAGTTACATATTGTTTTGTGAAATGCAAACACTTCTTTACAAATATTAATGCTAATTTAAAAGGGGTGGTCCACTACGATATGGCACACACTCCAGACAGCAATGGGACGTGGCCAGAGGCGCTGTAATGTTGTAGCAGAGAAAGCTAAAATGCCTTCCAAATGCTGCTATTTCCACAGAGCTTGTTCGGTTTCTGTATTTGGGCCTCCAAAAGACATGACACAAAGAGAGAAGTGCTTACAATTTAATTATGTTCCAGAGAATTATAAAAAAAAAGATATAGCTAGCATTTGACAAAGCTTCCAGAATCTTTTCCAGTTCAGTGCTAAACATTTTATATTACTTACACATGCTTATTCTAAATATTTGTAAAAGACAATTGTCGGATGTTATTTTAGAGAGCAGGCGTGAGGTTCATTTGTGTCCTCTGTGCCATTTTCTGTCTGATTCTGGCTCAAACTGATACAGCTAACAGCTACTCTGACTGATAGTATATACACAGCAAAGGCACAGCACATGCATGTAGGGGTGTGATGTTTTTCTTGGTGATGTGGAGCCAATCCGCGAATCAAAGCACATTACGCTAGCAGACCAATCAGAGCCTTTAGAAATATGACAGTTATTTTACTTTTAGCTGAGTAGCTGTATACAAAACGGTTTGGTCCCAAGTTTCCTTATTACTTTTTAAAGTGTATTATACATTTATTTTAAAAGAAACTGATAAAATGGTTTTATTAATGGATTGCAACTCTGGATTATTGGAAATGGACAAAATAACAAAAAAAATCTTATTTTATTTGGAAAGTACCACATCCTCAAAAACAAAATGTCTACTGACTGTACCAAATTGTAAACTATTTTTCATTGATCTAAAAAACCATATAATTTTTATGATACCCCTTCTATATAGAGTAATACCAAAGCGCTTAAGACATCTCAACTGCTGAAAAAAATACTTAATGTACATGATTAATTTTGGATGTTAATTCCCTTACTGTTTTATTTATAATTCTGGACGCCCCAGTTTAATCAATTTTTAAAAAAAAGAGTAGCTGTATATAATCAAAGTAAGAAATATGTAAAAACAACGTGGTGTTCTACAAATGAAGCATGAGCACACACTACTTTGCATCTTTTAAACACAACCAAGCCTTAAAAATACACCTTGGACCACCCCTTTAGGAAATGAAAGCGGTAAGAAATCTTTTAGCCAACTTAAATTTTTAAAGATATAACCAACCATTAGAAATACAGTGTCAGTAGAAGATCAGAGATATAAACTTTAAACTACAAAACAATCCATAAATGTAAACAACATGTAAATTATATAAACAATTATATCATGCAAAGCAGACAAAATCTCTGAGCTTTTTTCTCAGCAATACTAAAAAGCAACACTAAACATGACAGGATACACACACACACTGACAAATGCTCCAGTAAACAGTGATTCCAGCATTACTATAACAGCTCATTTCAACCATATGAGTGCTCAAAAAGCCAAACGTGACTTATTCGCAATAAGGGTGGTTTACAGTTTGCGTACAGTTAACTGTGTGTGTGCGTGTGTGTGTGTGTTACAAAGCCGGGATTGAATCACAGTGGGATGTTCTGAGCCTGTGGAGAAGCGCAGCTGTCGACCTCTCCTCTCCAACACATACACCAAGCGCACAAACAAATGATGCACTTTGAAAACAAGATTTCCTGTGGCCAGATTTAAAGTGAAAGGGCAATAAGTCAAAAGACGCTGGATTAAAATGAACATCACTCAACCGTGCACGGCAATACAGTCAATTCATCTTCATTATTTTATAGCGTTTTATACAACAGAGGTCGTTTCAAAGATGCTTCACAGAATTAAACAGGAAATGAAAGATTAAATAATGCAATTTTATAATAACGAGACCAATACAGTCAATATTGGGCTTATATCAGGTCAAAATTCAGTCAATCCAAAGTAAAAATGTTTGTTATAAAAGAAAATGTCCTGTGGTCATAAATTGATGTTATTACTGAATATTAACTGTCTTTAAGATCTGAACTAATCCAGCCCAGGCTCATTCTGATTGCGTATCCCTATATACCTCTAGAGAGAGCAAAATAAGTCCCAAGAACTACAACTTTTTTGCAGCTGAGATCTAAAATATCTTGTGCTAGTGCCACTTACGTGCTTACTGTTCTTGTGTAAATCCACTAAAGGTCCCTGTCAACTGACTGATTTACTGACTGACCAAACAACCAATCCCTCCACCCCCCTCGCCCCCTTTAAACCCAACCAATAGTGTTTTAAAAAGAAATCCAGAAAAATAAAAGCCACATTTTACCTCATTTTCACCTTGTTATTTACCACGTTATTTAATAGATCATTTTAGTTTTTATTTTTGTTTTACCCGCATTTTGGAACCATTATTCACCTTGACTTCAACCCATGTCGTGGTCAACTCCTCTCTGCATCTCAAGACTGCTGACGTACATGTCAAGCTAACCGGACAAACTGGTAACATCGAAAAAGCTGTCCATATTGAGGTAAGCGGTCAGCTGGTCAGCGAGAAAAGGAACTGTGTCATAACGCCCCATATCGTTCGTTTTAAAGAGGAAATTCAACCATAAGTAGCTCTGGGTACATAATTCGTCCATTCAAGCCATCAATAGAAAGTAATACTGTGGTTAAAAGAGTCTTGCAGGTAACAGTGCAATACTTATTTCTTATTCCAAACGCAGCAGCATAATAGCGCCATTGTGGTCCAGTGGTCAGCACATTGTGTTACAACGTCGCCGTCCTGAGTTTGAACCTCGCCTAAATAATAATGTTTATTTTTTATTTTTAGTATTAAGACATATAATACTGTTTGGGTTACTTATGTAGGTGTACATATTTTTTTTTTTTTTTTGTGTGTGACCGTCGTTACAATTGACTGGATATCTATAGGGGGTTCGCACAGAATATATGTTCAGATATTGAAGGAAAGGACATTGTGATGTTTTAAAGAATAGTGTTGGAAAATTAGCAAACGTTAGCCTTCAATATTCTCATATTTACGAAAAACATTTGAAGTTCTAAAGAAGCTGTTTCCTTGAAAAAGACTTGATAGTGTCATTAGAAACTGACTTGGAAATTACATTATTTTAATATAGTTAGTCGTGAACTGAGGTGGGCCGGTCTCAGGCTTGAAACTACAGGGCTGAAAAGAAGTCCCACTCCGGCCCTGACTGCATCTATGGCAATTCTGGCACCTCTTTCTCAGTAAACAAAATGTGAAATACTTTCAAATCAAAGACAAACTAGATTAACAAATATTAGTCTTGTGGAAGTGTTATCCTCGCAGGATACTGCACTTATTCATAACAGGGTTCCCACTTTAAGCCAGATATCAAATTCCATGACTTTCACTGACTAAGAAGATGACCTTACATTGCATCTAGGCTGCTGTTATGCTCAATATTATTAAAATGACATATTAAAATAATAACATTTTTAATAATAATGGATAATTTTAATGTTCGGGTGGCTGCAAAGTGTGCAAAGTAATAGCTTAATAGTAGATCTTGTAACTTTACATTTATCTTTTCAGTTGTCTACTTTTAAACCCCCATTCTCTGATGTGGTCATTTTGAAGCCAAAGCTCTTAACATGTATATTATCCTGGCATGTTTAATTTAGTTATCAGGTAGAGTCTGGTGACTGCATTTGACTTCAGTGACTGCCAACTGATGAGCGTGAAAGGAATAAAATGGAGCAGAAACTTGACTAGCCATAACAATAAGCATGAAAACAGTTTAATATAAAAAAAAAAATCACAATTACATTTTGATAAATGGAAACTAATATTTAAAAGTGAGAAATAAAAAAATCCTTGATTTTCCATGAATAGGAAAAAAAATCTTACATGCTGACTCTCAATGTCTGGAATAGACCTTTTAAAATTTCATGATATTCCAGAAACTCCATGACCCGCAGGAACACTGTCTTAATGACAAAAGTATGTTAGTTGCACGTGTTAAAAATTCATTTGCATGCTGCACACGCACATTTTTTATGAACGCACACCCTATGGGCCTCTATTTTAACGATCTAGGCACAAAGTCTAAAGTGCATGGCACAAAAGCATTAAGGGCGTGTCTGATTTCACTTTTGCTTTAATGATGGAAAAATATGGTTTGCGCTGTGGCGCATGGTCTTACAGGGTTGTGCTTATTCTCTTCATGAGTTATGGGTGTGTTTTGAGCATAACGTGCATTAAACCAATTAGAGTCTCATCTCACATTCCCTTTAAGAGTCAGTTGCATCACGCCATGGTGCATTTGCTATTTACATGACAGACTTCATAAGTGGAAAAACTGAACGCTTCACCAGTAACAAAACAGTTAAAGTTAAACAGATCATCTGCAGTAGCCAGGTGGTCAATTGCGCAAGTCTATTTTAGTTCCTCAAAATAGCAACGTGCCAACACACCTCTTTTCTAGACTAACACATTCATGAGTCCACAAAGAAACTTAAATAGATTTGCTATTTAAACAACGTGTTGGAAAATTAGGTCGCGCTGGTTTGAAAAAAGCAACAAATTGCGGCAAACACGTCTTGCGCCGAGTGTATGATAGAACGCATGAATTCCGTTAAACAGCTTGTTTGTTTTTTTAGATGTGATTGTGCTAAAACTGTTAAAACCACACAAGATTTACATATAAACATATTTGGTTATTAGATCTTAAGTACCAGTATTAGTTAAAGGTGCAGTAGGTGATCTTCCACAATGCTAACAGCTTAGCATAAATCTCTGAATCACACTCCCTCCCCTGCCGTCCAGAAAGCGACTAGTGCTTGTCCGGCGGCATGCAGGAATAACACTCATTACTATGCCAAACTGACATGCTATTTCAGGGAGAATATTCAGAGTAGCATGGTACACAATATAAGGAAAGTGTCACTGGTCGTCATTGTTCAAAAATGAACCAATGTGATGTGAATATAAAACCATCTTCACCTCAGTAAAGCAGGCTAGGCGGAACAGCGCTATTTACTTGTGTTAAGCGACATAACATTACCTGTTAAAACATAACATTACCTGTCTCAAAGAAATCCTTTAGCCATGGTGTCAACCTTTCTCCAGCTTGCAAAGGTAACTCCATGATTCAGGTTTTTAAAAAAAGTTTTGATTCAGCAGGTTTGTACCGATCGCTCGCTCTCTCTCTCTCTCTCAAGTTTGTGCAATGCACAAACGGCGGAGCTGCGTACAAACAACTGCGTAGTTGTTCAAATCTGCATTTGCTTACAGACAGTTTGGGCTACTTATCGGAATTATGAGAGATATCGGCCCGACTATTTAATTGGATGAACATTTTTTAGTTTTATGCCTTACCCAAAATATAATAATACATACTTACTTTAATCAATACTATTGGAATGAGAAGAGACTTTCAACCAGCAACACACAAAATGTTTCTGAAGACAATCACCTACTGCACCTTTAAGAGAAAAATAGATGCATGACGATTGTGTGAAGATCTTAATAAGTGACAGCAAATCAATTGAACAGGCTGCTGCTCAAGGCATAATTCTTCCAAAAATGTAAATTCTTTCAGTACTTTTTTTCTCCCAAATCTGTATCAATTTCTACCTAGTACTAAATGCAAAAGATATACTGTACTGTAGTAAAGAATATGGGTGACCAAACAGGAGCTGGCTGTACAAGGAAAAATACTATGGAAAACCGTAAAGACCACTGAGTAAACAATGACAGAATATTAATTTTTGGTTCAACTACACCTTTAATATTGATAAAATAACAAAACTCTATTTAAATTTGTTCATTGAATTTCTTAAATGCCACTGCTAAATGCACCTATTGTACTTGAAAAAAACAACAACTTTTGTTTGCTTTATATATTATGTGTATCTGCAATATTCTTTGTATTATGTATTAGAGCTGGGCGATATGGCAAAAATGCAATCTCAATTAATTCTTTTCGATGTTGAATGATAACAGTGTATATTTCAATATCAGTTGTTGATGTTTCCAGATTTAAAAGAGTACTCCAACAATGACTGAAACCACAAATAAGAGGGTCCTTTAAATAGCAAAACCTGTTTTAGTGGCTGCCAAAAATTAGCTGCATCTCTAATGTCAACACACTTATAGATTCTTATTTTTGCACAATTCTGCGTTGTGATTGGCTCTTAGATCAATATAGAGTTAAAAAGTCCAGAGCTTTTCATTGTTATTGATACACATTTTATTGCGATTTGATATTGTTTATCAGCCTAGCCCTATTATCTATTAAAATTTTCTCTTTGACAAATTTGACTACTATTCTTTTTTTATTCCATTCTTTTTAATTCATTTCAATAATCCATTTATTTAAAGTTATCAAATAAAGCTTTGTTTTTTTTACACTGTCTCCAAACAACACACAACTAGACTCCAGCGACAAGCAATTTGTCTGTCTACATCAAACTCGCTGCAACATGACAGAAACTTTTAAATATCTGCAACTGCACTCCTAATGAAATGGTACATGCTTTTAATCTAATTAATACATATTAAACCTCTTTAACATTATTAATAGGTGATTTTTTTTTTAAACTGTTTGCTAGTTATGCTGCTTTCAGTAGTATGGCAATAAATGTCACGTTTTATGGAATTTAAACTCACATTAGAAGCATTTAATACAAGTTAAAGCACATAATCTTTACCTGAGATGATCATTGTCATAGTAGTATATGCTGTTGTTCTGCCGCAACATTGCCAGTTAAACCAGCATTACAAAGAATTAGGCTAAAATTATGAATCATGATTTTCATGCCGTATCACCCATCCTGTAACTCTAATGGTCAAAAAGATTGTCTATATAAAAATCACGTATGTCCATTGCTGAAGCCACTATAGTGCAACACACAAAGGGTGCTGTGTTTAGATCCTTGAAAATAATAAATTTGACCCTTATCTTGGATTGAATAATATACTGACACAACTCTGACACATAATAAGTAATAAGCAATTAAAATAAAAACGATAACTTATGGATAAAAGGTCAACCAGGTGGTTATAATACCAGTTAAAATGTTAATGTAACAAGCCATTCAGATGTGTGAAAACAGGATTGTTCAAAGCCAGAAGCATATCAAGCACAGGTTTGTAAATAACCAATATAAATCTTGATGTATGCTCAAACTCAGAGCAGTGTTGGAGCGGTGGGTTTTAGTGGGAGGAATGAAGGCCGGAGATAATTACAAGACAGATGAGTCACTGGCGTACAGAGGAGAGAGAGCGCAGACTCAACACAGACACACGTTACTGCAATACTTCCAAGTGCAGCACACTCTCCTAGATCAACATACTTACATTTATAAATACCCTGTTCAATTTTAGGAGCTCAAAATGCATGCATGAATTTTCAAGACACTGGAGAATATTTTTGGACTAGTTATGTTAGAATGACATTGCTTGGCAATACGGCAGTGGAACATGTTTAAAACACATTTAAATACACACTCTTACCTTTTGTAGGCTGGTTGGGTTCAACTGAGTCTTGTCAATAATCTTTATTGCAACCTAAAGATACAAAGCACAATTTGTGATTTCAGCTTCAAGACATTATCATGGCTTTTAAATCAAATTTAATCATGAGCAATCACATTTTCTAGAGGCTTATTAACTGCCATAGTGTCATTTGACATTCATCAGCAGATGCTTTAGTCAAAATCTATTTGTTCAAAGGAAAGCTTTAGTAATAGGTTTCTTTTACCAGGCCCAATTCTACAAAGACATTAAGCAACACAGTTATGTAGTTACATTGCTAGGGATTATTTTCAAGTGCTGTGTAATATCATTGCACCTGCTGCAGCCATTGTACAGCAGAAAATTCCTTAATAATTGCACCAGAATGAGAGTATAGATCCTAGACATATTGTCCCAGAAAACAGAGACTTTTCGTTTTTCATCATTCTTAGTGTAAATCCAAAAGGGTCAAACTTTAAATTTGAAAATTATTGAAATTATTTTTCAACTTTTTTGAGAGAGATACTAATGGTCTAATCTGATTCAATGATCTATGCTTATAGCTAAGCTAAAAGTGCTTCTGCCAGCAAGTGGATCTATCTGCAGATGAGGGCATAACTTGCAGTTATCAAGATCCCATTGAAGCAGGTGAGGTCAAAACGAGATATTGTTAACAAGATGGTGAAAATACTTACAAAAGAACATTTTCACCAAATGTTGAGTTTGCACCACCATGCAACTCCACTCACTGACTTCGTCATTCGTTTTGTCATGACAGTTAACTTAATCGGTGTCGCCCCCTTTCCAATAACCAGACAATGGTGAGAGTGTCAAGTATGAAAACCTCTGCAACTCACTTCTGTACGTTAATAACTGTGATGGTTGGGTTGAGGGTTGTGGTAGGTGTAGATGTTAATAACTGTGATGGTTGGGTTTAGGTCTGTGGTAGATATAGACATTAATAAGGTAGGTGTTATAACTGATGTACAGCGCCATCTTGCTGAAAACTTAATTTTGACATTTGGGTCTCCATAACTTCAAATTACACCTCTAAAATTACGCTCCTTTATGTTATGCCCCTGTCTTACAGTCTGCAGACAGACCCTACTTCATGCCAGACATGGAGATCGGCTGAATGGATTAATAAAAAAAATTTTTAAAAACTGTAAAATTCAACTGCTTAACTCTAGGGGAGCTGATTTCCAAACAAAAGGTGGAGTGTCCATTGATGGGACTGGAAACCAGTTTAAACATTCAAAAGCTACATGTCAGTGTGGTAGAGTATGTCTATAACATAATTAAATAAATATGTCTGTTATCCTCACCAATGCTGCATTTACTTCTCAAAACTACTGTAAAAACAGTAACATTGTGAAACAGTTTTATATTTAAACATACTTAAAATTAGAATTTATTTCTGTGATAGCAAAGCTGAGTTTTCGGCCTCCTTACTGCAGTCTTGAGTGTGATACGATCCTCCAGAGATCATTACAATATTCAAAATCTCTAATGTTTGTTTGTTTATCAATGTTGAAAACGTTGTGCTGCTTCATATTTTAGTGGAAGCTGTTAAGTGTCTTTACCTTGATTTTATTTCATCCTTGCTGAATAAAACAATTTATAAAAAAATTTAAAAAAACAGTAGTTTATACAGCTGACTTCATTATTAGAATATCACAGAAGAAAAAATAAGAAAATGGCATAACAATATTCTAGATAAAAATTCAGGATTTTAAAAGTATACCCACATGAAACAACTACTATAGTCATTTACAGTAAATGTTTTTACCATGTTTTTTTAACCAGACTATAGTAAAGTACTTAAATTAATATGCTGTGACAATTCTAGAGTTGTTGCGGTATTACAACAACTATAGTAATATAAACAAGCTTATGTTTCCTATAGTATTATACAACAACACCATGTTTTATTGTAGTAAAATTTGTAATGTACTAAAGTATTTATTACAGTTTATTTGTTCACCATGTTAACGAATGCTACAGTATTAATATTATACTACACCTAATAAACTACAGTACTGAATTTAATCTTGTAAGTACTGTAATACGCTACAGTATATATACACACACTATAAAATACTTTACAATAAATTGCTTAAACATTTATTTTTATGTGGGCACCTAGATTCAGAGTTCTGGTTAGTGTCAAACTCAATTTTCCATCACTCAGAAAGCTATTCTAATATCTCTGCTTTGCAGTGTGTCTATAGCAAATACATTTATAGTGATCATACATAATAAACAAATTGCACAACATGATGTGCAAATGTAAAATGTATGCTTTGTTTTTGGAAAATGTATTTAAAATTAATTTAGCTCAATAATCTGAAGGGCCATCCTTAGCCTGATCGGGCATCCTTTCAATCATTTTCCTTCGCCTTAGTCCCTTATTTATCAGGCGTCGGCACAGCAGAATGAACCGCCTGCATCCAGGTAGTGATAACTAACAAATTTACGGCCTCACTTTAAATCAAGTGGCCTTAACTGCGATGTACTTGCATTTAAATTAATGGTTTGGTACAATACACTTAGTATGTGCATACATGTTTTTACATTGTACTTATAATTAAATAATTAAAATTATATTAATTTCTTTCATATTAACAGTTCACCCATCCATCATCACATTTTAATCCACCCCTAAAGCAGCCTCTATCACCAAAAACTGTGCCTAAAATGACCCATATCCCACCTCAGTAGCACAATAAGTGTTGTACAATCCAATAAGAACACAGTTAGTGTGTTGCATTTTTTATGCAAGTACATAACAAATAAGTTAGTAAGTTAATTTAAAGTGTGAACAAAAGTATTAATTGGACGTGCTTTGTGTACAGAAGTGAACTGTAAATCTAGTTGTTAATGCAGTGATGTCATTTGAACTCTGTCTATGTCTCTTTTCTTCTTGTGTGGCGCTAGTCAGAGACAGAGCCATGTGTCTTGACTCATTCGCAATTTCTCATGCCAGTCTGTCTACCGTAGCTGCTCCCACCAGCCATGTGGTCCAGGGGCAACTCATATTGTGCAGTTCAGACAGAGTACATGCTGTTACTAGCAGCTTAAACACAATAAACAAAACATGGGGATTCTTTTAAAAAAGTATGCTCACTAATATGTATTTTGTTAAAAAAAGAGAGCACAAAATGCTAGCACCTGTGTTACTGGATTACAGCCACAATGCTACTACAGTTGTGTCAGCCATTATGGGTCTAGGAGTGGTGAGTTTATTCCATAAACAAACAACTATCATTTTTTGGGGACTAGGCAAAGGGAAGATAACTGTTTTCAAGGTATACCGGGGTTTGGAAAAGTCAAGGTTTTAAAACCGCCTAAATTTTCTGTATTACCGTTCTTAAGGTATGAGTAAGATTTTTTTATTTGTTTTTATATGACTTCAGTAATGACTTCAACCACACTGAACTGAGCTAAACTGAACTGAACTTAAACACTAAAAACTGAACTACCCTGATCCAGTTACTATGACCATTTATGTGAAGCTGCTTTGACACAATCTACATTGTAAAAGCGCTATACAAATAAAGCTGAATTGAATTGAATATAGAATTTTATTTTATTTTATTTTTTATTACAACAGTATCTCCAGCAGGAAAAATTTTCAAAGATGCTGGTTTAAATTGTAAAGAAATCTGTTTTCAAATGAAGACAGCAGAAGTCAATGATTCATATGAATTATTTAGCCAGACATATTTACTGCTCCAAAATATCATCAATCTTTCAAAAATATATATATTTTTTTCAAATTGGAAAAAAGTTTTTTTTTACACAGACATTTAAAAAGGATATATTTTAGACCAGTAATCATAATACCGTGATATTTTTATCTTAGGTTATCCTACCGTCAGAATCTTATACCGGCTCATGCCTAGTGGGGACTCTATTCTGCATTTAAATACAGTCGTCAAAATTGTAAACGTGGCTCCTGCCACACATTATTTGTGCAAGAGTTTATAAACGACTTTATTAGATCTAGAACTTTGAAAGGGACAGTTCACCTAAAAATGATAATTTCCTCAGTATTTCACTCACACTCGAGTAGTTCTAAACGTTTATGAATTTATTCTTCCATTGAGCACAAAACAAGATATTCTGAATGTTGGAAACTTACATCAGAACACAAAATACTACAATATTATGTAACCTTTTCTCTAATATTTTAAGGATATATTCCTTTATGTTCAACAGAAGTAAGAAACTCAAACCGATTTGAAACAAGTGGAGGATAAGTAAATGATGACAGAATTTTCATTTTTGGGTGAACTATCCCTTTGAATAATGAACTATCCCTCTCAATTTCTGGAGGGCCGCAGCTCTGCAGTTTTGCTCCAACCTTAATCAAGCTGATACAACTAATCAAGGTGTTCAAGACTACTAAAGACTACTAAGCAGGTGTGATTTGGAGGTGGTTGGAGCTAAATTCTGCAGAACTGTGGCCGTCCAGGAATTAGGTTTGAGACTACTGCTTTAAACGTTTCGAAAGCTGAATTTCAGCATGATAGTTTAATCATCACACCTATAATTGTCTAATTATCAAACCTCTCCGCTGCCCACTAAGAAGTTCATCAAAAAAAAAAAAAAAAAAAATTCACACTGTATCAGCTTGGGTTTATAAAAAGCGAACGTGGGTGTGGAAAACTTCACACTTCAGTTGGACCACTTTAAAAATACACCGCCCAAAGCATTCAAGCTCACATATGTTCTGATAAGTATGAGATGTATTACAGCAGCTCCTGTGCTTACATCTTATCAAGCGTTACTGGTTTTACCTATGTAAACTCTCTCTCGAACAGTTGCTTTCTCTCACCTCTTTGCCTGTGAGGATGTGGCGGGCCAGTTTGACTTTAGCAAAGTTGCCCTTGCCAATGGTTTTAAGGAGCCGGTAGTTTCCGATGTGCGGTAGCTCGTCTGAGTAAGAAGCCATGGAGTTACGACATCTCGCACCCAGTGAGCGACTCGACACATTCGTCCCCTTCTCTGAACGACTCGCCACCAGAGACGCATGCTAGATAAAGACACAAAGAACATTCATTATGTGCAATTAACATCAATGTGTAACAAACAGATTGGTTTAAGGGGGCTATAAGTAGAATTAAAGAGATAGTTCACCCTAAAAATTTTAATTCTGTCTTCATTTACTTACCCTTGTTTCAAACCTTTATAAGTTTATTTAATCTGTTAAATACAGGGTGGGCCATTTATATGGACACACCTTAATAAAATGGGAATGGTTGGTGGCACATTAGTATATGTGAGGGGGCTTGTAAATAACTCATGAAAGAATAACGTTACGTTTAAAACTAAGCACACCATTGTTTTTCTTGTGAAAGTTTATTAAGGTGTATCTATATACAGTTGAAGTCAGAATTATTAGCCCCCCTGAGTTATTAGCCCCCCTGTTTATTTTTCCCCCAATTTCTGTTTAGCGCAAAGAAGATTTTTTTCAAAACATTTCTAATCATAATAGTTTTAATAACTAATTTCTAATAACAGATTTTATCTTTGCCATGATGACAGTCAATAATATTTTGCTACATATGTTTCAAGACACTTCTTTACAGCTTAAAGTGACATTTAAAGGCTTAACTAGGTTAATTAGGTTAACTAGACAGGTTGGGGTTATTAGGCAAGTTATTGTATAACCATTGTTTGTTCTGTAGAATATTGAAAAAAAATTATAGCTTCAAGGGGCTAATAATTTTGACCTTAAAATGGTGTTTAAAAAATTATTAACCGCTTTTATTCTAGCCGAAATAAAACAAATAAGACTTACTTTAGAAGAAAAAAATAATATCAGACACACTGTGAAAATTTCCTTCCTCTGTTAAACATAATTTGGGAAATATTTAAAAAAGAAAAACAAATTCAAAAGGGGGCTAATATTTCTGACATCAACTGTAAATGGCCCGCCCTGTACAAACGAAGCTTGGTTAAAGGTTTCCAGCTTTCTTGAAATATATAATTTTGTTTTTAACAGAAGAAAGAACCTTGTAAACATTCGGAACCGATTGAGGGTGAGAAAATAGTGAGAAAAGGTTTTGGGTGAACTTTCCCTTTAAAAAGTCTTGTTATTAGTGTTACCAGTGGCTGTTAAGTGAACCGCAGCCTCGTACTTGTGTGCGCGTATCGTACAGAACACTAAATGTGAAATGTATCCATGCTTAGGCTCTCTTTCTGTGCTTAGATGTAAAAAGAAGTTGGAAATACTTGCACTATTGCCTATTATTACTATTATACTATTAACAAGCATCCATACATGTTGATAAGAACGACGAGACGATAAGAAAGATGTGAATATGCGCTTCCCTTTCAATAACAAGCGACAAAAGTTAAGAAAGCATCTGATCGATGACATGTGAATAGATTTGCATAAATTCTGCAATTCACATGATATTATTGAAATTAAACACTGAGATTTTATTTGTGAATACACACACACACACACACACACACACACACACACACACACACACACACACACTAGGGATGTAACAGTTCATCTGACTCAGGATTCAATACTATTCCCGATACTACTCTCACAAAACGATTTTGTCACGATTTAACCAAATTCATTTGAAACAAATTTAAGGTGAAGAGCCCTTTCATTTTCTTTCTTAAATGCGGCACATTTTTTACAAAATAATATATTTTCTGCCATAAATAAATTTCTATTTTAATGACGAATTCCAAAAGAAGAAGACACAAACTAAAGAAGACTTGTTAATTAAATCAAACTAAAAACACTAAAACTATAAATATGGCTATGTGAGACTAGTGTAAATTAATGAGTAAAATTTTAATTAAGTCCGTCCATCAAATCTAGGATGTTTGGGAAGGTCTGGTTTAAGTTTTTAATTAATACATAAAGAAATCTTACATAAAGCCTCTTTAAGCTGCTGTTCGATGCATACAAAAACAATCAGATGGAAGAAAAAAATAGCCTCAAATAAGAAAACCCACTTTTGTCTCCAGTCCAAATTACAAGTTAGCTCAGATGGGGTAAAAGCAAGTAAAATTTGAAAGTAGTTAATTTAATATCTGTAGTAAAAGAGACTAAAGCTACTGTACTGACTGAACCACATTTCTGAATTAAATCCTCATTTAATGGATTAAGCCTCTTACACACACACACACACACACACACACACACACACACCCATCAGCCTAGATTCATGCAGATGGACCGCACAACTGTTAAAGTTACTAGTAATTAATGTAGTATTTTGGTTGAATAGTGTGAACATTTCTAAAAAGAACAGTGACAGTCGTGCTGCTTAAACCTTGTTCACTAGTGATGCACTGAAACTGAAAAAAAAAAAAATTGGAGAGCTGAAGCTATAGCATCTGATGCCTGATGTATGATGTATTTTGTTTGTTGTCATCTGTTTTGTACCAACAACATGGATGTCATAAAACAGCTTAACACTTTAGCATATTGTGAACATAAAACAGTGACTGGAAAGTCTGCCAGACCAGCAATTTGTAAAATCTGAATTTGAAAAAATAAATGACTGAACTTAATTTTGACTGATTATATTTATGTCCTGAGAACATGACATCTGAACAGCAAACCATGTAAAATTTCCAAATTGCATTTAAGTCTGATTGTACACACAATAAAAGATAAACAGTTGGTGTTTAAGCAACAGAATTAAAACTGAATTTTAAAAAAGAAATAACTTCCTTTGCCTGTGTGATTTTTTATGGTTGAAAATGTAAAAAAAAAAAAAAAACATAGAAAAATAATTCAAATAAAAGATCATTTTGTTTGCTTATCATAATAGCAATAATTAAAGATGTATACATACAAACACGTGCTCAACCCTAAATAAATGATGAGTGAAATCAGTTAAATACAGAATGCTCATGTAATGATGAGACGTGTGGGGAAAAGCTGAGGTCAGAACTGATGTGAGTAATTCTGCCCTGTAATACAGGATTAACTTACTTTGCCATGGAGGTTTTAGTCTGTCACAGCTGAAACTAAACTTTCTATTTAGATTAGCACATTTAAAACCGACTGAGCCCTGAACACTCAGGCCAACATCTGGTAAAGTTTACTGAAGGGCTCCAACTGTCCCTCTTAGAGAGGGGAGAAAGGAGCTTACGCAGGAATCAAAACATGTCCAGGTTCTCATCTGCACCGCTGACCACAGGATTACAGCTCGGGGGCTGAATAAATTACTCACGATGCCCTGCCCTGCTCCACCTCGCACACACTATGCACACTGTCCTATACACACAATACAGCAAACATATAACAGTAACTATACCAAATAATAAACTAAATAGCAAAGACTGTTTCATTACCAAATGGGTAAATCCCTGTTGTGACAGTGCATGTCAGCACATTAGTGGATGTTTAGTTGGGTTAGTCTAGTTCTGGCTAACATTTATTTATTTTCACTGACTTATTTTCGATATACTTGTGCATTTTGCACAATGGCCAACTTCTGCAGCATCTTTACATGTCCCCATAACGTAAAGTACACAATGGTTAGAGAATTTGTTCTCTACAAAATGTATCATGCACAATATTTTAGAACTGAATCCTAAATACCTGTCTGTATGTCACATACTAGACATTCTGTGAATTAAACTGCACAAACCAAAAGAAACAACGCTAATTAAAAGGATAAGAGTTGGAAATTGTAATTACTATTTAAATTAGCATTGGCATCTAAAGGAGTAAAATAATAAAGAACCTTTTTTAAGAGTGTAAGCAACAAATCAATCATGGGTTATAAAAAATTAAGTGACTGTAAAGGCTGCTGAAGAATTTGCAAAAAAAAATTAAATGTATAGTAAAATTAAGAAAAAAATATTTTTTAAAATTTAGACATATTTCACAATATTTCAACTGTATTTAAATTATGTCAAATAAATACCAATGCAATGCAATTACAAATGTGCTGCAGACAGTGGACATGCAAACCTCCTCTTTTACAGAAATTGGATAAGCTGAACATTTTGTATAGAAGTGGCATCTGGCTTATACATATACAGTAGGTAGAAATAGATTGATGGATTTTGTTTCAATAATAGTTATTATTCAAGCAGTAAACATCAGCCATATTGAACATCTTCATCATTAGCACAGAGGTTTATTTGTCACTAAATGATTTAACTGTTTATCATTTAAATGATTAAAAAATGATAACTATTTTAGATTTACTGCAAAGACTTACTAAAGCAACGTTAACAGATACGTCTAGGTCATTTATAAAGGCCACTGTAATGTGCTGTCGCAGAACTGCTAGGCCACTACACCAGCAGTCAGTGCGTCTGTTTGTGGAGCACGACACTGTCGGCGAACCGAGACGGCAGATCACCGCCATCCTCACGCCACCCTCCCTGGAGCCCCGAATGCTTACATTCATTCGCTAATATGCAGAAAGAAAGCGTTTCCTAGCGTGTCTCTCGCACATTCTGCTAATGAAGCAGAAGCGCTCTCTGGGAGTGAGCGCGGTGCTCGTGCGCAGATGATGCGCTGATGTGTACACTATGCGGATGGCCTGCGCTCTGCTGCCTGCCTGCCTGCGCCTTTCGCAGCGCCTCTTTTGCTGCTTTGCACATTCAAGGATGCGGCCCAATTTGCCAAAGAACCTGCTACGCGTTCATGGGCCACTGTACCCTGCCTCTCCATCCTCCCATGAACGATAGCAGGCAATGAGCTGCAGATATTCGTTCCCGATCGTGCACCTGACGTTAAACGCTGGGCGTTGTAGGATATGTGTGAAAACTGAGAATTCAGACCATTTATTATTATTACTGCAACGAGAAAAATAATAATTGATTTAAAATGAAGAAGACGATGATACTTACATGATCTGTGCTCCGGTCGTTCGCAGACGTTAAAGCAGATCGAGAGGACATTTTCCCTGAGATTGCAAACGATTAAAGAGGAATAACGCGAACAGTATTTACAGATTTATTGTCCCCCGGTAAGCGCAGCCCTCATCGGCCGTGCTGCTGCAGCTGGGGCCGAGCTTCTCTCACTCCGCCTGCTCGGTAAAGCCTGCGTCTGTCATGGCAGCGGCAACAGCAGTCCGCAAATCTCACAGATGTCCTCGAGACAGCTGCATTATTTTTCTGCGATGCAATCCGTAACGAACAAACGCGTCTGTTGACGACTTAAACGCAAGCACGGCGGTATATATCTGTGCTAAAACGGAGTAATGCTTGGCCGGAGCCCAACGATTTTGTAGCGACTCGCTACCCCCCGCCTCATCTCCGCGAGCAAAACAAATACGGCTCCGACAACCCCGTCCTCTTTTCTCATAATAATAGCGAGGATCTCTCCGCTGCCCTGTACCGTTTAGTCTCACGCTCGCTCGCTCTCTTCTCGCATTGGTTTGTCATGGGAAAACGGAAGCTTTGGCCGGTGTCGAGGCCGAAAGCCGCTCACATCCTCAGCAGCCGTTATTCCAGCGGAGGATGTGCGTGTGTGTGTGTGCGAGATGCGCCACTGCTGCCTCCGCCAGCGCGCGCGTCTCCACAGCACTGACAGGCGCGCGCGCGCACTGATGGACAGTTTAAAGTGCTCCGCACAACAAAGACTGACGGCGAACTTAAACCTTGCAAAATCTTCATTGGAGCTCTCTAAACCCTGATGTTACTTTGCCATTCTGTTAGTTCGGAAAGAAATGTTGAATTAAATTAACCGACTGACAAACTAGGCCTAGTTGAAATAAAGACCTAATGTGAACACAGCTGATCACAGTTTACCAAGTGTGCTTAAACACTTTTATTTTATTAGAAGTTTGTTGTGTGGTCGTTTTACTTTCATTTTCTTTTAAAGATTAATTATACAGTATTCCACATTTAGTCTCGATTACAGTCCTAATAATCTTATGCTTTATGTAATTATTTCTAACATTTTTTCCTTGCACAATTAGGGTCTTCTGTGTCACATGACAATTTAAAAATCATGCTACTATGCTATTTGTTGCTAAAGAAACATTTATGTTATAAAATGTTAAGTTGTGTTTAAAGAAATATTTTCCTTTTGTTGCACTTTTGATCAATTTAATGCATCTTTGCTAAATAAAATCAATGTATTTAAAATAATTTATTCGCCATGTAAATCTCAAACGGATGATATTACATTATTATAAGCATAATTTTAATAAATACTTTTAAAATGGTGATAGTGACAAAAATGGCATCATTTATTATTTCTAGAGAACTGTGCAGACCCAAGAATGTTTTGAGGAAATGGGTGTCAATTGCAGAATGGCAACAAAACACCATAAAATCTGGCCTGTTTTCTTGGGTAAAATTGGTTAAGCCAGTATGTCCATGTCAAACAGAACAACCAACTTCACTTCTGCATTGGGAAGTTAAATGTAAAAAGGAATATTAAACAATAGAAAACTTTTAAATGCACCTACAAGGTGGTTTACAGCAGTCTGGACTGGTTAGATGTCCTGTTGAACTTTGACAGAAAGCTAAAGTGAACTGTGGTTTTGATATAGTTACCCATGCTCAAAACACACACACACGCACGCACGCACGCACGCACGCACGCACACACACACACAGGGTGCCTCACCTCAGGTGAGTTTCACATGGGAAGAGTGAGCTGTTCATTTACTCTCCATGCACACCTTCAATTCCTACACACAAGGGCTAATTGCGTTGATTATTTACACAGGACACCTTATGGGAAACAAAAATCAGACCACAGCCGAACCACATTCAAACCACAGACTAAAGAAAATACATTCTGCACATTCCACAACATAAACACCAAAAAGCACATGCTTAAACAATTACACTTTAAGACTTTTTCATTCCTACAAACTCCTTGAAGTCACATATTTATCTTTTCTTAAAAAAATAAGTCACTGTCACTGTTTACACAGCCGTCAACAAAACTCACCAAATCCACTGAAATGCTTCACTTATCCGGGATAAGAACTGTCACCTGACCAACCAAGGGAGAAAAAAAATTAACATATACAGATAAGTACCCAAAATTATTCATACCCCAGGAAAACTCTTGACTTAAAATGACCTTTAATTACCTAGCAATTCTTTTAACCAAAAATGACACAAGCTTCTCCAGAAAGATAAGACGATGTACAAGAGGCATCATTGTGGGAAAAAAAATAATACAGCAGCTTTATTTACATTTGAACAAAAGCTCGAAGTCAGAATTTTGGGCTTGACATTATATAAATTATATACACTTTATATTCACACTTTATTGGTACACCCGTCCAACTGCTCGTTAAGGCAAATTTCTAATTAGCCAATTACATGGCAGCAACTCAATGCATTTAAGCATGTAGACAAGTTCAAGATAATCTGCTGCAGTTCAAACTGAGCACTGGGGTTTTCACGCACAACCATCCCTAGGGTTTACAGGGAATAGTCAGAAAAAGAGAAAATATCTTGTGAGCGGCTGTTCTGTGGATGCAAATGCCTTGTTGATGCCAGAGGTCAGTGGAAAATAGCCAGACTGGTTTGAGCTGATAGAAAGGCAACAGTAACTCAAATAACCACTCATTACAACAGAGCTATGCAGAAGAGCATCTCTGAATGCACAACACGTCCAACCTTGAGGCAGATGGGCTACTGCACCAGAAAACCAAACCGGGTGCCACTCCTGTCAGCTAAGAACAGAAAACTGAGGCTAAAATTCAAACAGGCTCACCAAAATTGGACAATAGTAGATTGGAAAAACGTTGCCTGGTCTGATGAGTCTCGATTTCTGCTGCGACATTCAGATGGTAGGATCAGAATTTGGCATCAACAACATGAGAGCATTGACCCATCAATGGTTCAGGCTGGTGGTGTTGGTGTTATGGTGTGAGGGATATTTTCTTGTCCCACTTTGGGCCCATTAGTACCAATTGAGCATCACGTCAACGCCACAACCTATTGTTGCAGACCATGTCCATCCCTTTATGCCCACAGTGTACCCATCTTCTGATGGCTACTTCCAGCAGAATAACACGCCATGTCATAAAGCATGAATCATCTCAGACTGGCGTCTTGAACATGACAATGAGTTCACTGTACTCAAATGGCCTCCACAGTCACCAGATCTAAATCCAATAGTGCACCTTTGGGATGTGGTGGAACAGGAGAATCACATCATGGATGTGCAGCAGACAAATCATATTAATATGGACTAAAATCTCTGAGGAATATTTCCAGTACCTTGTTGAATCTATGCCACGAAGGATTAAGGCACTTCTGAAGGCAAAAAGGGTCCAACCGGCTACTAGTCAAGTGTACCTAAAAAAGTGGCCCGTGAGTGAAGGTGCATAATGCATAAGAAAAAAGTAGTGGCACTACTGTCGAATCAAAATATAAAACAACAATCCAGCACACACTTGCCTGATCGTTACTGCTCGTCAGTGTGCAAAACATTTCATTCTCTACATTTCTAGTAAGTATAGATAATGTGAGGATTGTGTTATTCATTCATTCATTCATTTTCTTTTCAGCTTAGTCCCTTTATTAATCTGGAGTCGCCACAGGGAAATGAACCACCAACTTATCCAGCACATGTTTTATGCAGCGGATGCCTTTCCAGCTGCAACACATTACTGGAAAACACCCATACACTCTCATTCACAAATATACACTATGGACAATTTTAGCTTACCCAATTCACCTGTACCGCATGTCTTTGGACTTGTGGGAGAAACCAGAGCACCTGAAGGAAACACACACGAATGTGGGGAGAACATGCAAACTCCACACAGAAATGCCAACTGACCCAGCCGAGGCTCGAACCAGCAACCTTCTTGCTGTTAGATCGTGCTATCCACCGCGTCGCCAGGATTGTGTTATTAAATTATTAAAGTATATTATTAAAAAATGTATTACTGTGGTATAGAAGAAGGTACATTTTTGCATTCTACATGGCTGTGCCCTAAAGTGAAAGTGTTGTGGGTACAAGTATGTAATATTATATCACAGATTCATAGAATTGATTTTCCATCGGATCCAGAGATATGTTTATTGGGCAATTACACAAATTTTAACCTCCAGCATAATTATGCTATTAAACTTACTCAAATGTTGCTGACAATAGCTAAAAAATGCATTGCTTTAAAATGGAAAACAGACATTGATGTACCAATTGGACTATGGATCTCAGAAGTTTGCAACTGTATTCCATTGGAGAAGATCACATATTCTTTGAGAGAAAAGGATGAAGTATTTTTAAAAATTTGGAATCCAGTTTTGAACTATATTAAAACAGTACCACTTGATTTGATTTGACAAAAAATAAATCGTTTTAACCGGTTTATACTGTATTTCCTCCCTTTTTATTTATTTATTTAATTTAATTTTACTTATTTATTTTATATACTGTGTATGTTTTAATTTAGTTTGTTTGCTGTCTTGTTTTGATGTTCTGTATTGTTAACTCTTGAAAAAGCGAAATAAAGATATATAATCACAAAAAATGTATTATGGTCTGTATTCCATAAATGAAAAAAAACAACAGTCATTGAGAGAAAAGTTTTAGTTCACACTATAGTTCACAAATATTTAACCGCTTCAAATACTTATTAAATTAATAGTTATAAATGCTTTTAAGTCCCCCCACCCTGGTGCTGATACCCCATACTTTCCCTAAACTTCTGTACATATCCATATTTTGGGGTTTGTCATCATTACACAGAAAAGATAAACAGGTGTTATTATAATACTACATAGCAGTAATCCCTTTAATCCTAAGAAACCTGCACTGGACTACATGAGATGGACTAGACCACAAGACATTTTGTCATGCTAAGTAGTCTACATCTGCACTGATCGTTTATGCTTTTTAATTCCAAATCATTAAACAACACACATAGCACAGCAATGATCTACACTGACGTCTGTCGACCAATGGCTGTAAAAAGTTGTCGACAAAGATGCAGCAACTGATTTCACAAGACTACCACGAGAGGGAGACAAACCTTAGGTAAAAATCAAACGGTTTTGTCTGATCTGGACCCTTTACAAAAACAACTTTCTGATGCGACGGTAGCTACGTTTGTAAACATTAATGTTTTGTATTAGACAAAATTACATGTCATGTAAATTATATGTCATTCTAAAGGAAATATACATGTAGGATATACAGTGAAAACGCCACTAGATGGGGTTGTAATAACGTGGTTTAATAAATAATCCCAGCAGGTGATTTTTGAAGCCGTTTCTGTTTGGAGCTGAACATTGATGGACAAATTAAAAATAGCACCAGTGAATTGATTGAGGAACGGACCAATGTCAAATTCATTCCATACAATGTTGCAATGAAATATTCGAAGTGTTAGGTTTACTTTGTTGTCTTAAAGTAATGGGATATTTTAATAACTAATCACCCCATAGTAGACGACAGTGTCCTGCAAGACTTTACACTCTAACCGTCTTCTATTCCAGACTGTAGGGAGTTTCTACTTGGAGGTCAAGTTCATTCTACTATCGAATTGTCGCTTTGCAAGAAGTGGAGATTTACCCAGTAGTTATTGTCGCTTTACAAGAAGTGGAGATTTACCCAGTAGT